GGGCAATGGCGCAAAGTGTGACGTGAGGGAGGGCCTGTCAGGCCGCTGTGGTGTCACGGCATCCTTGACGATGGCGTTGGTCCAGATGCTGGATCGTCCCTGACGGCAGAGCGCGACACGTCCCAAAACAGCCTGTTGCTTGCTCGCTGCGTCAAAACGACACGCAGAAGGATGAGGTTCGGCTGGCTTGAAGGGCTCCACCAAAGCCCTCGAAGCCCCTCGAAGCCCCCCGCATCGGTGCTATGGCGTCCCTGACGGGCTGGAGTGGACGATGGCAGGTGGCAGGGCACGAGGGCGGACGGGCACACGACGATGTGCTTGAAACCGCTGGCGAACACCAGATGGCGTTGGTGGCTTGATCTGGTGTTGCGATGCGTCTTTCAGCAACATGGCCCCGATGCAGCGCGTAGAGCAGACACGGCAAGGCTCGACGCGGGGCTAACCAAGTGAGGCTGCCCGGGTGTCCCATGCCTTAGCCCTGTTACCGTGCGCGTGGAGAGGGTGTGCTGGGAGTGCGCTGGGTTGCGCTGGGGTTGTGCTGGGTCGGAGTCGGTGATGGGTGGATATTTTTGGACCTCCCAGACGCTGGCCAGCAGTCGTGGAATTGAGCGGCCGCTTGGCGGTGTAGATAGACGATATGGCGCTACGCATGACAGGTGCTGCGAGATGAATGGCGCAAGCGGCGCTCCTCTGCTGCGAGCACCCTGCTCTCTCTCAATTGTCTCGCCCTGGTAAGGCGTTACTATCCCACGGCCTGTCAACGGCGGCAGCGGTGACGCTGGGAGGTGTAGCACTCGGCCGGCCCGCAGAGTGCCATCGCAGACGTTGGAGAGCACAGCCGCTGTGCATGGCAGCACGGCGGCCGGCGTCCCGAGCAAGCGGGATCGGTCGGGGGCGAGCGAGAGACGGCACCCTGTTCCCTGCGGCGTGAAGAGCGGGATGCGTGGAGATGCTCGGGGCAGCCATCTCGGCCCGGTGATTCGCTGCGAGGCGCGCCCCCCATCTGGTCGGCGACGTCTCTCCTTGGCCCCTGCGCTGGGCCATCGCCCGCATCGCCCGCAGAAGGACTTGGCACGTCCGGGACGCCTGCCGAGACGCGGATGCCGAATGCTGCACCTGGGCACTAGTTTGTCGTGCCCGATTCGGCGCTGCGAGCACTGTTTCAAGTGCCATGCCGCCCGGACTCGGCGCACTCGCTTGCGACGACGTGCCGTGCGTGAGCCGTTGCTAGAGAAGTAGAGCGGCCGGCCATGGACATCATGTCTAGGGACGTACGCAGTCTCTCTGGACTTCCGAGGGCGAGCAGTGACTTCGAGACACCGCAGAGCCGGCATGCGAACGGCGATGCGGCATCGAGTCGAGCATCCGATCGCGAGCCGACGGGGATTAATTGCTGGCGTCGAGCTCCACCACCCAAAACCCTGCGCCAATCGCGCCTCAATCTTGACCTCCGCCAACCTCGACCACAACCGCATCCCCCGACCGCAGTGTCAAACCTGTCAACCACCAGCCAAACCCGCCTGGCCAGTCGTCTTGTTTGCTGGCCCACCCTTTCCTGCCGTCCTGTCAGGCACGCAGCCCCGTCTGTCTCGGCATCGATATCTTTGCAGGCCGTCTCCGTGTGAGGGATCATCGCACGGCTCGCCACGTCCAGCCTCAACCTCAACGGCCAACGCCCCGTGTCGGTCAATAGTGTTGTGCACGAGCGGCTCCCCTCGCCGTCGTGGCGTCGTGGGAGATCACCCGCGCCGACAGAGGAGGCCTTTTCTTCTACTGGTCCTGAAGCGTGTGCCTTTTCCATGCCTGTTTCCTCTTCAATCCCGCTAGTGCGTGGCTAGATCCAATCTCGCATGGCCAAGACCGAACAGGATGCCGGCCACCACTTGCTTCCCGCGCGTTCCAAACGAGGTCATGCACGATGCACGACCTCCCTAGATCCAGCGACATGCCGCCCACGCGGGAGCAGCAGCGCCAAAAGTCTGCAAAGTCGTTCACCAGGCCATCTCGTGCCGACGGCCTGTGAGACGACGTGATGCTAGCTGACGTTGGCCGACGTTGGCGGCCAGGCTGAGGTGCCGTGATTGGCCAGGGCGTGTGGGCTGCCATTCACGATGCAATTCACTTGAAGAAGCAACCACCATCCGACTTCGCGCTGCTGCGGTCGCTATCCATCTCGATATCTCTGTCAGCCCTGCTGTAACAGATGCTAGCGCGCTGCGACGGCGTTTGAGGCGTCCACTGCCGTCTTTCAGAGCTCGAGGGCTGGCGACAGCTCCAGCAGCTGCCTCGCCTGGCCGGCAGTGGCGGACGCGATGACGCTTGTCTCAGCGGCAAGTGGGATGTGGGCGCGAACTGCGAAACACAGACGAGGTCGCTGGCCGAGGCAGATGCAGATGCAGATGCAGAGAAACTTTAGGGGATTGCAGAGAACGCTCGGATGGGACGGGTGCCACTCGCAAGCAACGGAGTCTGCTCCTGCTTGTCAATCTGCCACCATTGCATCTTGCACAACCGCCACAGATGAGGCTCAGTCCCGCGTTTGCAGAGACGATCGGGGCGGGCGTGTCGCTTCGCACTGCTATCTCCTGTCAGATTAAGCATATCGACCGCATCGCGGCGCGGAAAGGGCGACGGGGATGGCCCTGTGTTGAGCGTCACGGCGAGTCAGCTGCGGTGGGCGCGATCTGCGTTGGGGACGTGGTCCAGTGGTGGTGGAGGTGCCGGGAACTGGGCTGGGGAGGTCGGAGCAAGCCCTGGACGGGCCCTGAGGACAAGAGTGCAGTGGCCCTACGGTGGCGGCATCGTCCATGTCCATCAGTTGTACGTCGCGCGCTCCATCACCGGCCTCGACGACAAGGACTCCGCTGGCGTGATGGGTGGTGCTATGCTCTCGGAGAATATAGGCCAAACCTTAAGCCCCTCACGGCACGCCGCCTGCGCTCTTGCAGCTGGTTCTAGTGGTTTTGCGAGCTGGCTGCTGTCAAGGCGCATCTGAAGCGCCCTGTGGTGTCGCTCCCTCTGTGCAGGAGCCCTGGTCCTTCCGACGAGCCTCCTCGCGCCGTGCTAGTGTCGAGTGGCCTGCGACGGGAGCTTGCTAATAGAGCCCTGGCAGCGTACCCAGTGGACGGCCCGTTGCAGTTCGCTGTTGCCGCCATCGAGGACGCCTCATCCCGCCGTGGGCTCCACCTCTCAGCACTCCCTGCCCTTCGAGTCCACTCCCACGTACATAGCCGCTCCCAGGCCACGCTGACTGCTCTCCTGCTCCCGACCGCGACACCTCACCTGTACGTGGACCAGAGCATCATTAACACGCTTGCTATCGCTGAAGAGTGCCTGACCGCCCTCCGCCGCCGGGCACTGGACCAGACCATCACTTCCCAGTCACAACGTCCGCCCGCGGCGGCGCCACATAAGCTGTCTGTGTCCGCATGAGCCTGCTCCCGGCGGCACGGCCATCTACAGCACATCTAATTACCTCTGGTGAGTCCTCAGAAATTCATGTTGAATCACCAGCCCGTGGTGGGGCCACGGTACGCTTCGCGATATCCCCAGGACTAATTCATCGTTTACCCTCCACCGCCAATATCATCATTTTTGCCTGTTCGTCAAGAGTGATTCTTCTCAATACACGCCGAACCCAGGCTTTCTGTCAAATGGTCATTTTTTCGGCAGTTATTTGACAGTCACCGACATACGCTGCCATCGTTCAAGTAGATTCTGACTGTCGAGCAGATTTCAATCATGGAATACCTCACGCTCAAAGACGTAACGGACCCATACGCGCAGCTCAAGCCGCACGTTATAAACGGCACGCTGCCCTCCATCTCCAACGTACGTCATAACTCATCTCTTTTTTCTCTCTAGCTGCTCCAGCGACAAAACCTGCACGACTTCTATGAGACGAGTCCTTCGCGAGGTCCACCCCCGATATCAATCGCACTCTTTCAGAGCTTGTACAAGAAGATTTCTCGGGCTCGGGCGCTCATTTAGACCGCCGTCTCTCAGCGCTGCTACTGCTACATTGTCCTATCTCGCGTCCAGAGTATGAGAACCTCGAGGCTCTGGGGAGTCCTGAATGGCAGCTTCTAAGATTGCGTACTCTAATCACGCTTCTTGAACTCATCCCCTACGAGACCGCGCTACCTGCTCCACAAATGCGCTTCGATGCGCGAGTTGTTGAGATCGAGACTGAGCTGATCTGACGTGGAAATGAATAGGGCTGCCCACACCCCCAACGCCATTCTCCACCATTCCAGGAGGGCGACATCTCGCGAACTTCCGGCACAGTCCTACCGGGAATTGAGCAAGTAAGTCAATTTCAGTAACAGCCCGTGGTTGTGTGCGTTTCTCCACCGCTTGGGTACTTTAGCCTACCGTCAGACGTCTCAGCCTGCCTACCGGAATAACCGACGGCCTCCTGATTATCGCAGACTCTCAAGGGGATATTCGCGCACCCCAATCCGTGGTGAAGATGCGTATTGTCAGCCACCACCAGACTAACGGAATTCTAGATGCTTGGGAACGGCAGGAGCGTGCAAACACCACCCACAACGCCAGTACAAGTGCAACCTCCTCTCGTGCGCGGCCCAATAGAGCCACCGGTCGGTGCACATGGCTTAGAAGAGTCTAATGGGGCTACCAAACGGAAGCGAGAGGATATAGACGTTCTCCAACGGCTGAGGGTTGTGGACGATACGCAGCGACATGACGCTTCCAGGACGTCTAGGCCCTACTTCGAACCACTACCAATATCAACACCAACACACGTCCAAAACCCCGCTGTCTTCGACCAGCAATATCGCGGGGCGCCACCACCGTTTCCTAGTGCTGCACCCTCCAGGTCTAATTCACTGGGCTATGCTAGCGAGGATTCATTTGCTTCCAGGTCGTCATGGGCTCCGTATGGATCTCCACAGAGTCCTCCCTTCTTCACCACCCCAAACTACCAACAGCAATCTCATCAGCATAACGACTACCAATTTCAGCACATGGCTGGCGTCGATGATGGACAGTTCCAGCGCAAGCGTCGAGGAAATCTGCCCAAGGAAGCGACCAATATCCTCAAGACCTGGTACAATACTCATCTGCATTCGCCATACCCAACTGAGGAGGAGAAGTATCAACTAATGCATCAAACTCAATTGACCTTGAACCAGGTACGTCAGGGTATGCATCAGCCCCGCTGAAGAAGATTTTTAGTATCCTTGACTCAGCATGTGTCTGTCAATTTGGACATCAGCCTATGTCCCAGCCCTTTCTAGCTACTAGCTACCCCTGCTTTGATCGTATATTGTGGTCTAGATCAAACCTTGCCCCTCTTTCTCCACCGAGTTCCCCACCTTCGAGATCACACCACGATTGGCCTGCCGGGAGCGTTACAGGGTAAAGCTAACTGTTTCACAGGTCAGCAACTGGTTCATCAACCAGCGTAGACGTAACCCGAGCGCTCGCAGGAACGACTCGCACCAGCACAACGGCTCAATCACCTCACAGGCGCCAGTTCCTCTCCCACAAAATCTGCCCCAACCGCAGTACTACCAGCCCACTGCGACCCACCACCAGCTGGAAAAAGGCACTGCGCAGCTCCAACACCATGGCCATCTGAACTTCTCTCGAAGTCCACCCTGCCCTGGCCAACCCAGCCTCTAATCACGATCCCGATAAACGACATATTTGATACTTTGAAGACTTGTGCTTCGCGGCGTTATGGGACTGGGTGGAGAAAAGGCGCACTGCTGGAGTTTGAATGGAGTGAGAGTGTCTCACAAAAAGGGTTTCTTATTTGCCGTTTCGGCTGGTTGCGTGGGGCTTTTTCTACATGGATTCGATTCGGTCTGATTTCACGGACGACTTTCTCGACGGCTTGCTTCTCTGGAGCACTTTCCGATACGAGATTAAAGGTGCCTGATAAGCTTTCGGCTATTAGGAGCTTCCCGGACCCCATTCACCGCCCTCAGTCTCGATCTTGGGATTCAGCCGTCTGATCTTCGTCTTTCGTTTCCACCTCTGCTGTCGCTTCGGCTTGCCGATGCCAGTTTAGGATCTGTTCTGGCCAATTCCCCCACCTCCTCTTCTCGGCCCACTAAAAGTTAAGACACTCGCTTGCATGGAAATTGGCGTTCACAGATTATTTTGAGTTTACATTACATACGGCGTTTGAACTCGGGAGTTCGAGTCTTAGCTTTCGGAGCTGGATTCGACTAGACGGGAGGGTCTTGTATATACCCCAACTGGTCAAACTTCACGACACATGTCACACATCCAATCGGAGAGTAGAGTTAGTAGAATTATGTGTATGGTTATCCCCCTATTCCCTTACCCTCGAGGTGTGAACGTAATTGTGGTCTGGAGTGAGACTCGGAAAATTGGAAGGGGAAAAGGATGTGCGAGGTCCAAAGTTCGTAGCGGAGGATACTCCGAGTCGCTTATATCATAGTCGAACTTGGCTGTGATGTAAGTGTTCCACTATTCCCATGTTCTGGCTCTCTGCTGATTCTACGGCTCGACCATCGCTCTCCGCGAAGGACGTGTCAAGGCTATCGAGGTGGGCTCACCATGCTATGGTATACGGCTTTCCAACCTCTTGAAAACGCAGCAATGGGCAACGCTGGAATCCGGCTTCACCACTCTGCGCAAACATGCAGGGCCGAAATACTTGCGCGATTGGGTTTTATCCACACTACAGGGCAGAGGGATTGTGTGGCTAGGGGGTCCTGTATGAGGTAACCCCTCCATATGACTGCAACCCTCGCGTGGCCACTCCCACTCTGACTCCACCAATGCTTCCGACCACGAGCAGATTATCTCTGCCTCATGAGACTATTTCGCCCAACCAAACCCGCAGGTCCTTCATCGAGATAAGTTTCCCGATTCTGCGTCCTCCGACTTCACGAACTGTATGATCCTCAATGTTGCAACCCGGAACATGCGTCCTCTGTCAAATCAACAGGAAGGTTGAACGAGAGGTACCATGGCCGATATGTTCCCGGAGGGCTCTAGGCTGTTTCACGTTTTGTTGAGGGAGTTTTCCCGCATCGAACTCATCGACACGCTGACTAGCTCGAGAGCTGGCCCAGAGTCATTGAAACCTTGGGCGCTAAATGTTTCTTCTCGCCCATACCAGGCTACTGTTGTATCTCTGAGACCTAGCGATCACCTTTCGTACGACGTCGTACACCGATATCGAGATCAGGTCTGACTTTGATCGAGATTTGGAGACGGAGAACGCGAGTGGGAATTATATGCACTACTGCATCGTTGAAACATCCATTTATCACTTGGACCTAGTCTCTACCACTCTTCCAAACAACAACTCGTCCTATCTAGGCAAATCGAGAAGTCCTAAGCACGACGACCCACCTTCCCCACCTTCCTAACCCTAGACTAAGTTCCATCCCGGACTTCATCACACCGACAGCAAGATCGCTGAAAACGTTCTCATATCCGCTCAATAGCCTGAGGGCTCCACCTTTCCATCCGTCCATCTCTTCCCCATCCATCTCATCCCCGCCTCTCCCCCTCGATGCACCTCCATTTTTCCTCTGTATGTTACAGCGTCATGCCTCAAGCCCCCGGCCCGGCCCCCTTCCCTCCACTCGAAAGGAGCTAAGCCTCTAGACCACGCGGTCCGGACCGTGGCTCAACGGCTGGTTCCGGTAGTTCGAGTTGCGTAATGCCCCACTTTGAACCGTGGCTCAGGGGGGAGTAGCCGTGATTTCAACTGGGGCGAGGGATTGACTTGCTTCGTCCAGCAGAGCGGCAGAAGAATGGCTGAGATGGCTTTGGAGCAAATAGAGGGGCCAGGAGGGGGTGGGTGAGAGGGGAAAAGCGTGGAAGGTGGGTGTCACGTGACTTTGGATGAAACTGGGATCAAAAGGGTGCTGCGTATGGGAGGGGTGGATGGAAGAAGGGAGTGCGAGAGGGCAATAGAGAGCTCCGAGGTAGGGCGTAGGGCTTAAGAGAAGGTGTGGCACGTCGAGGTTGCGGTTTTTGGTGATGGAGGTGACTTGACAGCGGGAAGTTGGAGTTGAGAACGCGGACCCTACGGTTTTCTTCTCCTGGTCCGCGCGTGAGTCTTCATGTTCGATTGTTCGACTGAGGCAAGGGGGTGTGCGATGAATGATACCTTTCGACCTAAAGTGGGGACGTGAGGAGGTTTTCTTGCGTAGTCCGTCACTTTTGTGAAGAATATGAGATCACGAGGTTGAGTTCTGCATTTTGGTTTTCGGAAATCACGACGAAGCATCGGGTACGAGGGCTTAAGAGAGGGGTTGAGGCTCTTCTGTATCCGGATATCGTAGCGGAGTGTAATCGCGCCTTGACGACCTAAAGACTACTGAGATGAAGGCTTCGGTTACGATGATTGGCGAAGTGATTGAAATCAATTTCGGGGTTGAAGCGACTGAAGAACGTCTGAGACGACGAGAAGATTTTGGAATATACCAAAAGAACGCTTGCGCCTTCTTTCGCTTGGTATCCATTTTTGACGCTGTGCAAATAGCGCGCATAGAGGTGGCGCGGAGCAGAGCAAATTTGATGTGAATTTCCGATGTCGGATAGAGAATTGCTAAGATAAGACCCTGACGGGAGCTCATGCAGTTCGAGAAGGGTCTCAGAGGCTTCCAGATCACTTAAGATAAGTCCATCGTCGTCTTGATGAACGTACAATGCCTCGTCATAGGAATCCGTACACTCGTTTACCGCTGCATGAGCTTCATAGTATTTTCAGCATTCCGAATAAGAGAGAAATTCGGCATTTTAGACGGCCAGTAAACTTGCGAGGCTACCCCGGACAGCGTCAATAGGGTATACGCAGGTTGGAAGTGTATCCGTTTCTATTAGTACGTTGGAGCCCCATAGACATTGTAGTCAATGTCTTCTCCACATACGGCTAGCGGAGACATAATAAGTGTGGGCAATATAGTAACTCACCTTTCGAAACATCGCTCTTCCCACTCATCAATCAACAACAACATCCCAAGTATCATCAGCCCCAATCATTTCACGACATTTCAAGCTAAAGATTGATTATGGGTGAGTGCAAACGCAGCGAGGATGAGAAAGTCACTAGCAACCCCTGCGATTCAGTCATTTTCTCGGATGGCAGTGGCCACGAACAACATTTAGGAACAGCAAATGAACCTACAGCTTCAGACTAGCACAGCTACCGCATACATCATGCCGGTTCTGACCTCATCGTGTAGATGCTCATCCGCTGCTGAAATTGCAGAGCGAAGATGATTTCATCGATGCTGATACGGCATTGGGCTTGAAAGACAGCATCTGGAGTACATCCAATTTCTATGATCAAAACGGCTCTGGACAAAGCTCAGGTATGAGCACGAATTTTTCACAATCTCATACTCGCACGTATGCTGCTCGAGTTGATAATCCGCCCACTGCTGACCCAACCTCTGCAGATGCGCGTTCACTGCTGCAGCCCGCGGAGATGAAGTCGAGCTCAAATCCAAAGCGCAAGATGAAGTGTACCTATGGACCATGCCAACGCTACGGCCACGATGAAAGCCAATGTTGGTCTAAGTATCCTCATCTCAGCCGGCTGAAATGCACCTACAAACCTTGCCAACGCCAAGGCCACGATGAAGACAGCTGCTGGTACAAAATTCCGCATCTTGCAACGACCTTTGAGAGCTTACTCAAGATAAACAAAAGCAAGGGTGTTATCTACAAGCACAGAGCCGAACACGCAAAGATCAGAGCGGAAACCTTTACCTACCACTTGGAGACCGTGGAGCGTGCGAGATTGAAAGTAGAGCGCCTGGAAATAAGAGAAGTAGCTTTTGCTAGCCCCTTCAAGTCATCATCACCTCCTACGAAATCCAGGGTGGCCCTTCGAATGGCCGTCAGACCCTCATCTTCGACGTCTTCTAGTTCGAGATAGACTGCGAAGACGAGCTGCCATCGCTTGAGACCAACAGCAAGGCCCTGGAGGCTACGGCTGCAAACGTGTTTTATGATCTCCGGAAAACGATTTTCGGGGTCAAGGGTGTTGCAAAGCACTTCGAAAAGATATATCGAACCGTCAAGGGTGCACTCGCCGAGTCAAGCAATGAGGGAAAAGGAAGAGCCGTGTTAGTTGCATTTCAAGGAACCAGCGGATCACGAGCGAATGTCGTTTTTGCAGACGAGCTGTGGCTTAGACTGGGGCGGGATGGATACGGGACCCACATCTACCACCGGGGGCTCGCCCGCTATTTAAATCGCTGGTACTGGAATGTCGATAACACTCGCGAGGTTAAGCGGGCAGCTGCTAATCTGGATCGACTGAACTGGAAGAAGGCCAAGCGTGAGAAATCTAAAGGAGAGAAAGCCAGGACGGAAACAGTCAAGTCAGGAAAAGTCAAGCCATCGAAAGCCAAGACTAAGAAACCCAAAGCCAAGGCGGAGGAACCCAAAGCCAAGGTGGAGGAACCCAAAGCCAAGGCGGAGAGGGCCTGTTGGGAGAAGGCCAACTGGGAGAATGCTAAACAGATAGCCATTGATTGGGGGACTGTCGAACCGAAAGACGCCGACCCGAAGGACACTAAGCCGGCCTCAGGTTTAGAGGAGGTCGATTCGGATTGGGAGAGCTTTACAGAAAAGGCGAGATGGGTCAAGCTCACCACGCGGGCTAAGAGTAAGTCTAGTAGGGATGATCAGAATAGTTGAAAGCACCGTAACGAAGACTTCGATGGCACGGGAGGAAGTTCCCTTTGAATCACTCGCGATGAGCTAATGTAGAGTCCTCGGCCCACGTTGCTTGTCCCTCGTCTCATACCACCAGCATGGCATCGAGTGATTTTTCCAATGTCAACGAACGAGCTAAGCAAAATCAAGAGCATAGATTCACGTGGGATTAAGAGCATGGGTTCTGGACTTGGGGCCAATAGGGACGCGTTCTTTACTTTCCGCGGTATGCGAAGACATCGCAGCACAACTAACGCCCCGGAGGAGATGACGACTTTACATACAAACGATTGAGGCTGCCTGGATCTACTTTGTCGGGGATAGTCGTATCAAAGCCCCTACCACTACCACCGGTCATCCGGTGTCACATACCAATGATCACATGCACGCAAAGCCAGAAGTGCCTAAGATAGCATATCAATGACAGCGAGTCTTTATGCTTGATCAGGTCTCTCGTGAGTAATGAAGTTTTAATACCATACATTTCCTTATATCGTTCTCCGACATCTTGAATTTTGCCTACAGAGGAGATCACGTGACTAGGATCTCTAGCGAGAGCGCGGACTTCAGCCCTGTCCCTAGTGCCTGGACTCGGTCATCATTCCTTCAAGAACACTTTGAGCTCATCTCTTCAAGAACACCCTGAGAATCCCTTAGAGTAGTGGGTTAAGACCAGGTCAGTCTCAATCAATTCATTGTATAGTACAACGCGAGCTTTGAGAATATCATCCATCTCTTTCCAATTTAACGTCTTGCGCTTTTGGAGAGAGCTTACAATACCCCTCCAAACGGCGGTGAGTGAGGGGTTCTAACCAATGAACTTGGAAGATGGCTGCCCACGCCCAGTTTTCAATCTTCCAAGGTTGCCGGTGCAGAATTATCCCATAGTAAGTAGCGGTGAGCGGTATCCTGGTTCAGCTGAGCCGTAATCCAAGTATCTTGCATCACACCCCGTCAAATGTCAACCAATAAGATCGTGAGATGATAACTTGCGTGCTCGTCATCTGACCATGAACATAACGAGCTGCTGCTAGGCAGATTCGGCGAGGTGTCTACCAATGACAAAAAGCCTTCCGGCTTGATTCGCTCATTTGTGAGTAATTAGGTATTAATACTCAACATCGCTCGCCGATGTCTAGACCTTCACCCTTCTCGGCGTGGGCACGTGCTCTGTGTATCTGGGCCAGGCGATGGTACTTCAGCCTCGCCGCTAATGCCTGGACGTATCCATGATCTCTTCAATATTACTTTGAACAGCAATCGAATTGATGATATACTACCAAAATCGAGCTCATTTCTTTCCCCACACGAGACTTCAAGAACCCGTTTTTCTCTTTCCAAGTCAAGATATTACGTTTTCGGAGACTACTTGAACCTCCGCACAGGCCTCGATACTTGGGTGCTCGCGACCAATGACATCGAAAGATGGCTAATCGCCCCCAATATCTAGTTTTCAATTGTCGACATCTTTTAAGTGTTTGAGCCGTAATTTCAGTGGTTCGGCGAATAGATCAAAGCGATGGCGGTGGGCACATGCGCGGCTGACTCGATACTGTGGAGAAGTCTCGCTCGCTACCAATGAAACTACAAGAAGGTTGTCGGTGCCTGATTTTAGATATCCTTTCTTTGCACGCCCGCGTTCGCGGAGACCCGGAATGAGCCGTGAAATCTACGTCGTAGCCAATGAAGGTCATTAGATTAGGGCTGTGCTCGATTCTAGTCTCGATCCTGTTTCCGGTGAAGGTGTGGCTTGCGCCGCTTTGCGGGTGCCTGCAAAAGTGCTCGTCAGTTCCATGAACATTCAACGCATTATCACTTTTCCGACCCAGATTCTGACCCACCTGAAAGCTCTCAACACATCGCCGGGACAAATTCGCTCTGAAAAGGTGTTTTCTAAAACCTCTGATTGGCAAAAGGAGAAAATTAGCCCTCTCTCTTCATCGCAGTATTGTGAGTTTCCGTAAGAGTCTTCACAGTTGCATCCTATTTGACTACCTACAGCCAATCACGTCGACACAAGACTACTCACACCCAAATTTCGACTTTCAGAATGAAGGAAAGTGGTGACGGGGATAAGCTGTAATACAAGACTATCAGGAAGGCGGAAGCGGCAGCTTCCCAGCGCTAGCTACTTCACTGGGCAGACTCCGAAGTTTGATTTAACGGTTGCTCATGGCCAACCAGGCTAAAGAAGGGTATTAGCACCCGATCTTCACTTCGAAGTCGAATACGCCTGGGTGTCGATGGCGAGCCGTACTGTGCCTAGGTGGGCGACTTGCATATCCCTCGTTCAATTACGAGTCCGGGTGGGTGACCTCCGGATCAATTCTGCTCTTCACCGGAAATCGCAATCCTAGAGTTTGACCGGAGGAGCAAATCTGCGTGCAACCAATGAGACAGTAAGACTGCAGCCCACTCCCAGAATTCAGTTCTTTTGATGGCGACCGCTATGTCCCGGATTACATGATGAGCCGTAATGTGGATGACTTGCATATAACTCGACCAATCACAGAATCTGGCGCTCAGAGAAGGAGCCTGAGGCCTTTATGCGGGTGCCAAGCATACCCCAGGTCAGCTCCTGGAAACGGGTGGAGTAGTGTCGAAGCGATGACACGTGGCAGGCTCTACGAAACTTGCTCGCAGCCAATGGTTCGGACATGCTTCCGATTTTCGGCCAAATCTGAAAGAATGAGCCGCGATTTAGCTACGCCGTTGAGTGGACGGGTGGAAACAGACTACAGATCCATTGCTCTTCCAATAGTAGTTGAAACGCCTGACTAGGACTCGTAAGATCGGAATAAGCCTATCTGCACTCGGTCCTCAGCAATCAACGTCTGCTTTACCCTGTCATTCCCAGCGCTACATGAACGGCACTCGTAATCAGAGGGACCTAAATATGCCACGTTTGGGCTGATGGCTGGCACGGTACTTTGTGAGGTAAGCTTGTTACTGCTCTTCGTCATGATCACTAGAAGACTCGAGCGGACGACATGGCCATTATCTACTTCCGAACTTCGACTCCCAATCTACAAACCAGGGAAAGACATTACTCTATCGTCAAAGACGCGATGCTGGTGCTTGGCCTTGCTCTCGTCACTTTTGGGATCGAACAGACTGAAAAAGTCTGAAGCGATGGATGATGTAGGAGTGTACTTTTTTTTTTACCACTCATAAAGCTATGAGATCGTCGTTCGCTCTAAATTTTAGGTCTTTGTCATCTTCTAAGGAAGTGTTCAAACTGTCGTAACTCAAAGGTGGAATATTAAGGCTGTTGACTGACTATGGAGCACACTCGTCATGCTTTGGTTTTACATATTTTTTCGCGAGCAAAAGTTCTAGACGAGGCATCAAGGCGAACGCGGTTAGATCATAGATGGGTATAGAAATCTAACCGCAAAAGCCATTTCAGTTTAGCCGGCTGTATGCGCGTTGACTGGAGATGAAGACGGAGAAGTTGAGCGGATGATTCTGAAGTGGCCAGCCAAACCAAAGCACTATGCTGTCACTTGATTTTCCTTGCGATTGAGGTTTGGGAACGATAACCGATTCGATGTCAACAATACCAGCACAACGAGTGAGCCTCAGAGTGTACGGATGACCGCGATAAAAGGGTAAGATGAAGCAGCTTCCCTTGGTAGGCTTGAAGCTGAGCTTGACTGGTGCTAGTTCCATGGTGTACATAGGACGGTAGGACCCATAAGCTCGCAAGGAATTTGACTGCACGCAACTTTCACTTTCCACGAGCTAGCGGGCGGGCTGGTTATAACTGACGTGGAAGCAGCACTGATGAGCCTTCATTTGAGGCTGTGCATGATCTTCTTGGACGTGTTCAGCTACTTATGCGAGCATGAGAAAGTTAGCTCAGTGGGTTGGGATGCAGACTCACTGGTTAAGTCGTTCTTGGTTAGAATGTGTTTACGACCAACGAGATCAAATGAGGAATGATAGAGACCAATGAAATCCAAAGTAAGTCACTCGAGGCCATATTGCAGTTCTCAGTGAACGCCCCAAGTCATTGATTCATAGCACACGGAGGCGCAATTTGGGGCAGTGCAAAACGCCTTGCATAAGTTCAGCCAACCATGAATGAGATGGAATGTACCCTAGTGTATGAGGGTCAGAAGCGCTCCCGACTGACTGCTTGGGATCAGTGAGATCGAAAACAGGTTGCGCGCGCCCTCATTTCAGTTCTCAGGGTGGAAAGCATCATGCATAGTGTGAGCCGTAATTTGGGGCAGTGCACACTTCTTGCATATCGTGGGCGAGGCTGAGTTGGAACGAAGACACGCCAGGCAGCGCTGCGGTAGGGTCTACTTGCAACCAATAATACCACAAGAGGGTCGCCGGCACCTAAATTTCAGGTTCGAAGGCTGAAGAGCCTCAACACTTTCCTCCCTAGTTAGTTGAGCCGCGATTTACCTAATCATGGGGCCTTGCGTTATCATTGGATCCTTAATTGCATTCGACTTGAGAAGCAGCGCCTGTATATACATACTCTAGAAATGGTCCTGCACGTGACCGGAAAGATTTCTGAAGTCACATACCTTAGAATGTCGTGGCCGCAATCTTCACCCGAAATATATGTTAGGAGAGTATCAAAACGATGACTCATAGACTTGTACTCCTATAGCGCACACGTGAGCTTCTGGCTGAATGAGATTAGCGATAAATATCTCGATGATCGGATGCTGGTATGCACGATGGTACTTTATTGCTTCAAATCAATAGAGAATCAGAGATAATATAAAACTATCACATCACGTTAATAAGGCTTAGATTCAGTTGAATTAGTTGAGGATGTTCGGAATCTTAGTCGCGAGTGCTGATTGCGCGGCTTGTTGCTCTTGTTCTTCTTGTTGGCGCAAAGGATGAAGGCAAGTCTGCCCCATCTTGGATTTGTGGTGATTGTCCAAGATGTCCGAGCGGGAAAAGGCCTTGCCACAACCCCAACGGTCTCCATTTTTCAAAGGCCCACTGCAAAAGTAATTCTTCATGTGCCCTTTCTCGTGACGGATGCGATCGCTGTCCCGAACGAAGCTTTTCCCACACTCACGACATCTATAAGGCCGCTCAGTTGCATGGGTCCGGAGGTGCGACGCCAGGTTGTTACTTTTCGAGTAGATTTTGGAACAATGGTGGCATTTGAATTCCGTTTGTCGGACTCTTTTCGTCTTAGGCGGTCGTCGCGGTTCCGCCTCTGGCTCCGACTCAGAGGCCTCAACCGGTGCCGCCACGGCTTCCTCTTCGGAAGTTTTGTTTGCCATGCTCTGTTGAACATCTTGATCTGTGGGAAACTCCTGATCTTGAGCATCTGGGACTGGATGGGTCTCCTTCACGTGACGATCTCGTTCTCCCGCCGATAAGAATCCAAAAACGAAACCTGTGCAGGATTCATCCATACACCGGAAAGGTCGCTCATGTTGTGTGACGTGTCTGTCTCGTTCTTCGGTGGACTGGAAACCAGTTGTGAAGAACACACAGCTAAATCGCGGGCATTTGAAGAGAAAATCGCCGTACTTTTCCTCAACTCTTTGCCGGATGGAAGGCTCGATCGGAGACGCCAATGTTGCTTCTAGTACTTTGCGAACTGTGCCGACGGTGTCAACCAAATCCAGAGCAATTTCTTCCTTTTTCATGTTTCCGAAGAATCTTAGCTGTTTCCTTGATGAGACTACTGCTCTCTCAAGTTCGTCGTAAAAAGGCAATGATTTGAAGGCCTGGAGTTTCTCGCTCGTTCGTTTTGATATTGCAAAGTTGGTGCTTGGGGAAGTCCAATGCTGGTCGATAAAAGCCTCTAAAGATTCCATGAGCTGTTTCATTTGGCGTTCGTAACTAGCTTCATTCGAAATACCAGCCTCAAGATGCCGAATCCAGTAAAGCACAGCGTAGTCCATGAAGACGTAATCTCCGTCCAGAACACGAGTTTCGGAGGGCGGGTCCAAAAACGCAGGGAAGTTCAAGTAGTCAATACACAGGGTCGCCAACTTCATATCTTCAGCTACTAGATCGACATGGCCTTCGTCAACTAGGAAGCTGTTCGATTGGATTAGCGAATACGTCGCCAGACCAACGCGAGAGATCTCTAGACTTACAATTTTGCGGTCAAATGAACCAGCTCCAGGGTGCCATCTGATCGTAGCTCCACCAAAGACTCACAAAGGTCTTTTGGGGCAACCACGAACTTGCGACGTTCGAGCTCAACTGACTGGTCGTCCAGATTGATCGATTTTACACCTTGTATTTCGTGCCATTTGAGTGGTCTCTTTGCGCATACCAGCAATCCAAACAGCATTAACGCATCCTCCATCCGCGAACGAGAAGCTTGTTGGTTTATTCTGACCATAATTCGGCGGTAACTTCGGTCTAATCAGCCAAAAGGCCAAGCTAGATCTATGTGGACTTACGCGGCATTGATCTCCTTTGGAAAAACGTTTGGTTCAAGTTCTTGGTCCAAACCGACCATCGAGGTTTGGCCTGACAAGTTGATCCATATCAACTTTGCGAGCAAGAACATGCCTTGTTGCAGGTTAGCAATCAGCATAGATCAAACGAAGAAATTGATCAAAATGGACCTTTGACGGAGCTAGCCACATTACTAGCTATAGTCCTTTCCCTTTCGTCTGAAAGCTTGAACAGGTCTTTGAGATTATTAGCCTCTACTCGGCAGTATTCTTCAATGTCGCCCTTGTTGTCGTCGGTTGTAATTTTGATAGAGGCAAGGCCCGAGAAGTCTTTTCGGGCAGCGCTATCATCTTGGCTGACGAAAAGACAACGCAACCTATCGGGCTCACTGGATGGAAGATCTTCAACCAGCTTTCTGAACCATTGGGCGATAATCTTTCGCTCCGCTCTAGAGCATTCGTCCAAGCCGTCGACGATGATATAGGCAGCCTTGCAGTTTGCGAAGGCATGGACTAAAAGCTCTTCGACAAGGCTTGGTGAGGTTAGGACTGGCTCAACGCTGTCGCAGCATTTTTGATAAAGGTAGAGCAGTAAGCCTTTGTCTTGCTGAAGGAGTTGTGCTAGCAAAGTACGAGCAAGCGCGATGAAATTGTCTTGGCTGGGTTTGTTGTGCTTGCAATAGAAGAACAGAGTTACTGGCTTAGACGCGAGCTTTTGCGTTTCCTCTACAACGAGGGAAGCGAGTACGCTTTTTCCTATCCTATGTTAGAGTCCCGTTCCAACAGCATTCCTAGCAGTTAGAGGCTCACCTGCTCCGGGAATACCGTTGAGCCACAGAAGCGGGGGTATCGTTGCGTACTGAGGATCAAACCACTTTTTGAAGGTAGGATTGACTAAGAGCCACCTTCCGGTGCCAGGGTAGTCTGCCCTTATTTTGGAAAGATGGTATTGATCGGTGTCGATAGAGGTGGCTCTAAGCCAATTGTACACGGAATGTGATCGGCGTAATTCCTCGTTCTTGATCTCGGCCTCAAAGCGGTCGTTTTCTATAAGCCTCGACTCCCTAAAATCTTCGATCTGGGAGAGAGTCGCTTGATTTTCGATCAAACTCCGATGCCGGGACATATTGGAAATAATGCCGGAGAAACGAGACTTGTAGGTCTTCCAAGTTGCATCGAACATCTGCTTCCATACTATACAAGACGATTTAGCAGACTATGAATGATCAGGAGCAACTGTACTCACGCGGCTGTTGGAAATATGCCAATGCTATCCGATGAAACTTGAGTATGTCTTCATACATCAGAGAAAGGACTTGGACCATATGTGGTTTGCTATGGAAGAGATCTTGGTACTGCAAAAGCAGAGGCAGGCTTTCTCCGATATTCTCATATGTATCAAGCAATTCTGTGAAGGCTTCGGCGTAGGCGCTCGCCACCTATTTGTAGGAAGTAAATCTTTATCCATCAATTGCACGTGAAAGATCATACCTGTAATAAAAGTTTGATAGGGCCCTATCCACACATCAGCTTTGAAGTCATGCAGTGAGAATACAGGTTCATTGACACGTAATCCAAGTTTGCAAGGAAACGCGTATAAATTACCCAAACAAATGCCACAAATTCACTGCTATTGCAGAACACCTCGACAACCTTTCCGTATTGCTCAATCGCCTCCAGGAACGGCTTCAACCGGTTCAAGTTCTGCAGCCGGCGTTGCGAGTGTTGTTTAGCTTGTAACTCTGCGATACTCTGTTTCAGGTCACTAAAAGTCGTCATTTTGAAGTTGTTCTGGTCTTTCTTCTTGAGATTTTTCTTGAAGTCTTCTAAGGTTCGATCAAAGGCTGATCCTTGACTGGTAGCCATCGCGCATCAAGTACACCTGCTTGTCGGCGTCAGAGGCTCTCCAATATGCTTGCGACGAACTGAGCAAGATGTAAGCTCATCAGTTTGAACGATGGGTAGACTTCCCAACCCATCTTTGAGGCTCTCACCTAACACTCTTACGTGGAATTAGCATACATACCTTCGTCCCACAGTCAGAATTCAAAGTCAACGAAAATCATGTCTCGGTCCTTAATGATTTCCCGCTGACAGCTTCGTGTAATGTGGCCGCGGCATACTTGCAGGATTAGAAGGTAAGGCTGCATCCAGGCAGAACCGAGGACTTTCAGCCTGGTCATCGCTCAGCCCCCACCCAATTTCTACAGCGTGCAGGTGGCACAGCCTAGACCGGTGAGGCTGATAGCGAACGGACCTCAGCAAGTCCTCCTCTCCTGGTTACATCTCTGAGTATGCCTCGTTGGCAATGTTGAGGGAGTAAATTGTCTAGCTTGCCGTCACATAAGGAAGTGCAGGTGGAGTCCTGGCCGCAATCTCGAATATTCTTGCTAGTCATCTTTCGCGTTAATTAGTTAGAACTAGCTGTGCTTAGTAAGTAGCTTCATTTTCTAACCCATCATCACTCACCACCACCTAGACACCTTTTTAACGAATACGTCGTTACTCTAGCGGTAGCTCATATTCATTGACTTTCCAGAATACTTGTTCTCGGTTCCGCGCGTGCGGATTTTGACTTTATTTACCTTCAATTTACCTTTGTTCAGGAGAGCCGTTTTACGGTATCAGCGTCGTCAAATCGAAGTAATGAGAGCAATTCTCATTTCATCAGAAATATTCATGCTAGAGCGGTCGTAATGGGTTCAGTGGAATATTCGTTGAAACGGCTATGGCCATTCGGAGACGAAGAAAGCACTACCACTTCGGCCACATCCACGCCGCCAGGTCCTCAACAGCTAAGCGAGGCAGTAGAATCTGTAGGAACAAGACGGATATGCTTTGGAAGTGTAAATGAGACTGCGTTTGTACGAGCGCTCCTTCAAGCTAACCTTCTCCAGATTGTTGACGCAAAAGCGCAAATGCGGAGTTTCTCACAACACGTCCCTAAGGGCTCAGTAAAAGCCTTCTCTTTGGGCCAAGAGGGCGATTACTACACCTTGGAGTATGGAGGACACCATGTTGCTCGTTTAAGCAAGGGGTTGTGCAGCACCCTTCGCGCGATCTCTACTACGCAACAGGTCCACTTTCGAGCATTTGTGCTAGAAAAGGACTGCAGAATAGCAGAGAGAAATTCTACGAACTTTGCCATGGAGCTCAACGTATACGGCCCTAGAAAAGGTGCTGACGAAGTGGGCAAGATCTTGTCCAAACATGGCCATTTTCTGCAAAAGCCGCGGTACGGAACGGAAGGCATTGAATACTACAACCCGCATTTACTTCCACTAGACGGACATTTGGAACAAATTGCGAACGAATCATTTGACTTGCCAATGGAAGACTTTGTGGAGGTCCCGAGCTCGGGAGTGCAAAATGGGCCAAAAGACTTGGATTCGGCGGAGCTTGACTCGATTCTTGATTCGTTATCACACAACGTCACGCTGCGAGAAATACCGGTCGATCGGCGCATAAAGAGTGTACTTTTACCGTAAGTGTTGTTCAATCGGGGGTTACGATACACTTCTAACACGCTTCTGCATGATACAGCCACCAAAAGGAAGCAATAGACTTCATTTTCCAACGAGAGATTGGAAAGGTACCATCCGAATTGAGCCTCTGGCGATACAACGATGTCGACGCGGATGAGCCTTTGTAAGTACCCTTTCTTTCCGAATGCCTGTGCACGTCCATTTGGATCTGCTTGAAGCGGCACCACTGCCAGGAGATACCCCGTTGTCAGCAAGCCGGTCGGTCAAGAGGTAGCTTGGATTTTGCTATGCAAAGTTTTACATAGCACCTAGTTTCTTGGAACTCTACGGGAATCTCCCAAGCAGCGGCAAAATGAGTGTGCACAGACTCATGTTTTATCACTACATGCTAGATATCCCAAGATGAGGATCTAAATAACGAGTCTAATCCAGTTATCAACACGTCTTCAGTGGGGCAAAATGTCCAAAGCAAGATGAGGCCAAGGGTGGTATTATTGCGGACGAAATGGGGCTGGGAAAGTCATTGGTCATATTATCCACCATTGCTGGCACTCTTGACCGTTCAGCAGGCTTTGCAGCCCAAGAAAAGCAGGTCTTGCGACACCAAGCCGCGAGAAAAGTTCCATCAAAAGCAACACTCATCCTTGCACCCTCTTCACGTAAGTAATGACAAAGTGCAATCCAGGTTTGCTGGACGTGGAGTGCATTAACTAGGCTCTAGTCTTAATCGACAGTTGGGTCGAAGAAATTCGCAAGTAGGTTTTTTCTAAGGCCTAACTGAGCCTCGCGAAGATTCAAGCTTACGGCACGAGTAGACACGCTTATCCCGGAGGCCTGTCATTTCACAAGCACCTTGGTCCATCGAGGCACGCGGAGACGGCTCTGCTTCGTGAGCGAATGATAGTTTTTACCACTTACGCGACCGTTGCCGCAGAACATTGCCGCGGTGACAGTCCATTAGCTAAAATTGACTGGTTCAGAATCGTACTGGACGAAGGTTTGAGCTTTCAGATGAAATCAACTACTTGAACTCATCGTCTGACGCCCTTCTTAGCTCATGATATCCGAAATCGGCTCACAAAACAGTTCCAAGCTGTTACTAGTCTCTCGGCACAACACCGCTGGTGCCTGACCGGCACACCAATTCAGAACACCCTCGAAGACCTCGGAGCGCTAGTCTCGTTCCTGAAGGTACCAATCATGGAACAAGCACCAACATTCCGCAAATTCATCATGAATCCGATCAATTCAGCGTCCACTTTAAAGGCTCGCTTTCAGAATCTTCGAACGCTGCTTCAAACAGTCTGTCTTCGAAGAACCAGAGATCTCCTAGAATTAGGGGAGCCTATTGAACAAAAGAGGAGAATAAGCTTCACGCCGTCAGAACAGGCGCAGTACGACGCTTTGTTCCAACAAGGTAGAGAAGCGATTGACAGAGTAATAAGTGGACGCAGTGGCAAGAAGGGCAACATAAACTCTACAATGCTCGAATATCTCCTCCGCCTACGCTTGTTTTGCAACAACGGCAACTCAGAGGCTGTACTGCAAAAGGACATGAAGGGAGTTCCGGCGGATCCAGATGAACTATTGACTTATCTCCAACAGCATGACCGGAACATCTGCATGTATTGTTCCGGGGTAATTTATTCCATCAACGACTCGTCCGAGACCGACGGGGGGGTGTTTTTATCGTCTTGTTGTCATCTGGTCTGTCGAAACTGTATACCTCATCATCGAGCGCAAAAGGACGGCTGCCCAAGCTGTGCAGCAGAAGGAAGCGTGCCGATGCGCGCCGAAGTGTTATCAATTGGTGAAGTCCAGGCGGAGGGGCCAGGTGAGCCTCGCTGGACCGAGCATTATCCCTCCAAGCTGTTTAGGCTTTTGTCCGACCTTCGTCAGGATCCTACGCACAAGAGGTAACCGCTCCTGCTGCTGTATCAAATTACGCTGGCTGACCTTTGAAACCTTAGCATCGTATTTTCTTCTTGGAAAAAGACACTCGGTGTCGTTGGCAAACTTCTGGACATGCACGGAATACGTTACGATATGATCGATGGCACGCTTTCGCTACGTAAGCGCATCAAAGTGTTAAAAGATTTCCGGTCCTCTGATGGAGCGAACATCTTGTTGATGACGCTTGGGACTGGTGCAGTAGGGTGAGTAGTTCTTTCGTACAGTCTTTCATCGTAGATCTGTGTATGCCTTCCGGCCGGCGCCCGTGGTGGCCTAACGGGTTAGCGATTATCCACACTGATTGGCCTCCACCTTTTTCACAGAGGGTTCAGAAGACCTGAAAGCACCACAAGCAGCAGTGAAGGATGTACACAAATTCCTGTCGAGGCGCCGTCTACAGTTTCTTGCAAATTAACATTGATTTACAGACTCAACCTAGCGATAGCATCACGTGTCTATCTCTTAGAACCGCAATGGAACCCGCATATTGAATCTCAGGCAATCGGTCGAGTCCTTCGCCTTGGGCAAACCGCCCAGGTCGTGATTATTCGATACATCATGGCGAATACCATCGAAGAGGTGTGAAAATTCCACGCTACGTTGTTGCACTTGTACTAAGCCCATCTCTAGAGCAATATTCTCTCAAAACAGGAGCGAAAACGCCAATTGGCGGGAGGAGGATTCCGCAATGGAAAGACCGTGCAGCCCGACAAACTTCACGCGCTACTGGTAAGTTTGGTCGATGATTTTAGGAGAGTTGTGTCTGTACTAACTCCTTGAAGGATGTTTTTGATGTTGATTTGGCCCCGAAGTCGTTGGATGCTTGATCTGAGGTGGTGGGTAGATTCCGATGTGTCTGTTCGATTGGTGGTAACATGGAATATACTGTGGGCCGCATTACGGCTCTATTATTACTTCTATATCCTATACTGGATGGCAATGAAGATTGAGACTGCGCGACAGGCGATGCTCTCATGCCTCGATTGGTTGCAAGCGGCGTGTTCAGCCTTGCTGGTGGTTTGGGGGCCGAAGCCGGAATTGGGACATGGGGCTTGATGACCTGGAGAATTACGGCTCAACACTTCCACGCCCCGTTTTACCGCGCCCTTTTACATTCTCGTTTGGGGCAACTTACGAAAACTTGAAACTAGCCACCGGCAATGCTCTCAATGCCTCATTGGTTGCAAGCAAGCACACAGGGCGTCTGAAGCCTTCAGCCCCCACATCATCAGTGGGGCTTGACTACCATAACCAGAGCACCTTGCATATTTCCGGTCAGATACGAGCAAGACGACCTCAGCTTTGTGGATTTGGACGCAATCTTGACTGCACTTGGTTAGACCGAGATTGTACCACCAATAAGATCAGAAGATGGTTGCCCCCACCCGACCTTGCTTTCCTTCACCTGCATATTGCTGCTGCGTTTTGGGGGGGGGTGCAAGAGCCTTGCATGTCTTTAACCAATCATGATGCCAGATGAAGGCTTCGAGGTCCTTTGCTAAGCCGTAGTCTTCTAGTGCGGAGTGATATGAGGTCAACGAAGACGGAAACTGAAATCACGGTGCGGACGAACGCGTTTTGATCTCATTGGATGTATCCCGGACGATCTAGCCTTTTCAGAACAGCGAGGCTGAGGCCGAGGACTTTTCGGTCAGGCTGAAGCCTGGTTCAGTCAGCTTTGCATCAATTTAGCCTCATTGGACCATCGGTAGGCGAGAGAAATGCAAGAAGCCCCCGCATTTTCCTTCATTCTCTTTCAATCCAGCAGGCTGTTTGCTTCAGCGCATGCCTAGCAGGGAAGATTACGCCCGATCACGGTTCAACTATTCCCATACTCGATAGCCGTGTCTTAAAGTGAATACTAGAGGCAAGGAACGTCATGTTGACCAACTTGGTCACACGAAAGCAGGTGTTATTAGCGCATATTGTGGGTCTGCCTTGCTTGACACGTGACATTCTCTTTAGCTAACTAGACTTCGTTCTAGCTGAACGCTGGGAAGTAGCTATTGACAAGACAAACTCATATCGTCGAATGGATGCATGGATGTGAGGCAGACTTCACACGAAGCCGAAATCAAGCCGATTCGAGATCAGGACTGTGGGTTCGTCAACTGTGGACTACATTTCACTTGCATCCATTACGACTCATCCTGAACGGCCCAATGAGCCGCCTAAGGCTCGGCCATCACACGAATTGAAAACTGAAATTGGGGGAGGGGAAACTTCTTTCGGTCCTATTGGTCTAATACGGCCGCCATGCTCTAGCCATCAGCAGTCACGATAGCGTGTCGTCCTGCCTGCCCGCTACGCCTGATGGCCGCACTGGAACCGCCACGGAGCAGGCACGGGCACCGTCGTCCGCTAAGAGCTTTATTACGGCTCAATCTCATAAAAAATTCCTGTAAGGCAAACCTCGGCGAGACCTAAAAGGCGGGAGCGAGCAACCTTCTTGTGGTATCATTGGCCGGGCCCAAGCCTTGGGCTCTTCTGGAAGCCCTCTCTTCATGCACCTAGCGACACCCGCAGGAGGACTGTGCAGCCGCATCAGCTGCAGGACGCTGGCGACGATGATGCTGCCGGGCGTTCGAGATATTCTATCACTACCTAGAACTACAATAGGATAGACCTAGAAAGTTAGAGCGCGGAATGAAGGTAGAGGATCTTTCACAGAGCATTTGACAGAGCCTCACGGTCGACAGAGGCGGAAGGCTAAGAAGGGCCCATTGCTCTTTTCATCCAAGTCACGGCTCATACTTATCCTGTTAACTAGAACGTGAGAACTAAACCCTGGGCACAGACAACGCTCCTTTTCTGTCATTACTTGCGACAAATAAAAATATATCGAATCTGAGAAGCTTTAGCCAACACTGGTGGGTTCGACTGTGCATGAATGTAAGAGAGATCTAATCTTACTGACGCTTTACAGGTTTTCTTCCCGGTCTATCAGTTCTCGGGCCACCCTAGACGGTGTTGGACTGAATACTGCCAAAGGATCTTGATAAAGGAAAAAACAACATCATTCTCAGTATCACGCCCAGGTTCACAAATCTCGCGTAAGACCTCCGTACTTCCCCAACGGGAAATTTGAAACTTGGGTAGGAGCGATGCTATCATAGCCCCGTGATAGCAAGCAGGGCGTTTCAAGCCTTCAGCCACCCAGAAAATCACGGCTCAGCATTATTAGATGTCCAGCCGAAGAGGACAGTCTGGAAACTTGAACTAGGCTACAAGAGATGCTCTCATGGCCTGATTGGATGCAAGACGGGATTTCAAGTCTTCAGCCCCCAAGCTGTCACCTGGGGCATGAATGAGGTCTGCATCTCGTATCATCATTAGCTGAGCACACGCAAGGCTCTTGCACTGCCCCCAGATATGCAGAAGCGACATGCAGGTAAGAGAGAACTAGGTTGAGTGCAGGCAAGTTTCTCCTAACTTGATTGGCTATGAGCGAACGATCTAGCCAGGTAGGGACGAGGAGGCGTCCACATTCACGAGGCTGCGTCCACATTCACGAGGCTGAAGTCCTCTTGACCGGAAATATGCAAGGTGCTGCAAACTCCGGCTCCCGCTCAACTGAAATCACGGTGCGAATGTACGTGTTTGGATCTTATTGGATGTATAGGGACGGTCTGGCCTTTGCAAAGCAGCAGGGCTGAGATCTTTTTGGTCAAGCTGAGATCTCATTCGACCAGGCTGAGACCTTTTCAAGGAGCCTTGCATGGACCAGGCCACCATGGGTTAGCTGGAGCTATGGAAGAAGCTCCGCACTTCCCTTTATTCTTTTTTCACTGCAGCAGGCTGTCAGCTTCAGCGCACGGCGAGTGGAAGTTTGATAGCCGTCTTGAATCATGGCTCAATTATACCCACACTCGAACGTCGTGTCTCAAAAGTGAGCAATAGAGGCAAGAAACCTTATGTCGACCATGTTGGTCATATGAAGGCAGGTGGTACCTGGGCATATCGTGGGTCTGTCTTGCATAACACGTGACACTCTCATCCGCTCGTTCCAGCTGAACACTGGAAAACGGCTTTTGAAAAGACAAACCCTATATTGTCGAACTAATGCATAGATGTAAGCCCAACTCCACACAAAATCGAAATCAAGCCGACTCAAGACCATGAGTGACAGCAATACGGGATGCGACGACGGAGTCCAAACAGCTTTTAGCATTATAGTCACAACGCAAAATACACAGTCACCGATGATTGTATGCTTCGGCGAGGCTCCGGGTTTACATCCAATAATCCTCCGCCTCTGCATCACGCTTCCAATGTTGAAAATGCCGACCAGGCCCTGCCTATTAGAGGCTGCATGCCGTTTCATCGCATTCACAGCATTGCTGCAATGCTGCCCGATATCCCCCCACTCCTGCAAAAGCGTGCTGAGGTGATGGATGTGTCAGCGAAAGTGCAATTGCCCGGCATCTAAGAGGGTACTCTGATGGGCAGGAGGGGGAGATTGAAGGGAATTGCTGCTTGGTATTTATCTCTGCTCTGCAATCTGACCTTAGTGTGGTAACTAGCAACTGTGAAGATGTCGATTTTCGACGACGCCCGCAGAGGCGCCCTCATTGGCGCCAGGCTGGACAACTGGCTTCGCCCTGACTACAGCGCCCTCAACTCCCAGGACCCCAGCACCGGCTGGACACTGCTTGCAACCGCCGTGGTGTCTGGAATCCCGAACCAAGTCGAACAGCTCCTCAAGCGAGGCGCAAAGGCAAACCTCCGCTGCAGGAATGGCGAGACGCCGCTCCTTCTCGCGGCTTGGAAGACGTTGATGGAGCGTCCGCTGATCGTGCAGATGCTTCTTTCTTACGTTCCCAAGAAATCCATCGACCATACGTGCGACCTTGCGGAGAACAACACGCCACTGATGTGGGCGATTGAGAGGCTGGATGTGGATTCTGTGCGGCTGCTGGCGAAGGCTGGCGCGAGGTTGCATATTAAGAATGATGACGGCTTCGATGCGGTTGAGGTTGCGAAAAATACCGGGAAGCACTCCGTGCGTAACGCACTGTACCCGGAGAAGGAGCAGTCGTACCTTGCACGCCTTGCGTCTAATGTCATAACATTTGGGCGTCATGTTGTCTCGTGGGTCGACAACAAGTTTAATGGCTTCATGGGCAAGGTGTTTGGGTTCAAGGGGGAGCACCACAAGAGCGCCGAAAAGGTACCTAATTACCTACGGACATCCAATATAAGCACAACATCAAATCCGACATCCTGCTGACAAGGAACTTTATCTCAGACATTGAAGGCAATGAAGCCTGCCCCGGAGGAGCCCACTCCCCAGGAATTCATCAAACACGTCGACACCTACGTCAAAGACACGCCTGCGCTGGAGGCCTTCTTCAAGGACAACAAGGAGTTCATGCAGGACATAGCGAAAAAGGCAGTGGACCTTGCCAACGACCCCACCACAGACTTGGGCAGCCCAGAAGTCCTCCCCAAGACCATCAAAGTGACCATGCATCAGCAGGTCATCTACTGCGGTAACCAAGCCTAGCTTTCCATTTCATTACACCTTCATGTGTGTCGTGTCACTAACAACGCAACAGACGACAGCAGCTCCATGGTCAACGCAAAAGGCACGGCTGAAAAACGATGGGAAAACCAAAAGAGCCTCGCCCTGCGCATTGCGCGGACCATGACCCGCATCCTCCCCGACCGCGAGGGCGTCGCCCTCCGCTTCATTAACCAGACAACCAACGAGTCCCCCTCCCTGGACCTCGAGGGCATCGGGCGGGCCCTCGACTTGGCCGATCCGAAGGGCAACACGCCCATCGGCACGACGCTGCGAGAGCGTATCCTCAAGCCGCTGGTGTTCAACCCGCTCGCGGTGGGCAAGCTGAAGAGGCCGCTGCTTGTATCCGTTCTTACCGATGGGGGCCCGACGCCCGAGGCCCCGGGCACGCTGGCGAGTGTGATTGTCGAGTGTGGGAATGACTTGGAGAGGAAGGGGTATCCGAGGGACTGTGCGTTTTCATTCCCCTTGGGTTTATACGGTGTTATTTGTGTTCGGTTTGCTAAGTATGGTTTGCAGGCGTGAAGTTCTTGATCGGCCAGGTCGGGTCGTCGAAAGAAGCAGTCGAATTTCTGGACACGCTCAGGGACAACCCGGCCATTGCCAGCGTATCGCATATCTTTGCGGGTATGTGCAATTTTGGGTTGAATGTCAGGAACCAGCAGTACTTACAATCAGACAGGCAGGATGGATGACAAGTTCAAGTCGTTTCGTGATGAGCGGAGTTTAGACCGATGGGTGAGTATTCGTTTGCTGTTGGCGGTTGGTTTCATGGGAGTTTGTGGGTTACTGACTTTCTTCCAGCTGGTTGAGACGCTGTTCAAGCCCTTGGCGGCTGCTGAGGCTAAGAAGAAGGAGGGATAGCCACACTCTTGGGTTTCGTCTTCGGCTTGACGGTGTAATTCCTAGGGCGGAAAGCCTGTCTTCCAAGTTGTCACTCGAATCTCGACACCAAGTCTAGAGTCTGAGATTTTGAGAAATTGCATACATCATCCATCATTTCAAACTACAACTTCCCATCCAATTCTAGCCACCTCTACCACAGTGCCCACCAACCTCTCTACATACACGCCTGAGCAACTCCACCTAGCCAGAACCATCGCCCAAACTCAACTCCCAAAGCCTCCCCCTCAACCCCTCCACCTTCTCCACTCTTTCCCTAACCTTTTCCCCCACCTGCACCACTATCTTCTCCAACTTCCCCACATTCACCACCACCTCCCTCGCTAATTCTAAATCCCCCTCCTCTGCCACCACCTTCGCTTTCTCCGCCAGCTTCCTCACCTTATCCACCTTCACCCCCAACAGCCCCACCTGCCTCACCATCCCTTCCACTTCGGTTTTCACCTCCCTCGCCGCAGCGACAGTTGCTTTCCACGTCTCATCATCGTCCACTAACGCGGCAGCTAGCTGCATGGCTTGCATCTCCAGCCCTTTTGCTTCGCGGACGTGCTCACGCGCGCTCTCAGCAGCCGATACCGCGCGGCGGATAGCCTGGTCCGCCTCCTCGCTAACGCCAGCAACACCGTCGCGGTACTTGCTCACGATTTGCCACGCCGCGAACACGAAAAGAAGCGTTGCTGCGCGGGCAACAGGGAAAAGTAAAACGATGGGGATGGCGCGGGGCAGCCAGGCAGGGAGGGTCTTTTTGGTCAGGGAGGTGATGGAAGAGGATACCTCAGTGTAGGCATGGTAGGCGAGGCCCGCGGGGGTGCGGGGCGGTGTGGTTAGGGAGAGGGATGCCAGGGCGAGGAGGACGAGCGGGAGGGTGCTAAGTGAGGGAATGGGGAGGGGGAGGACGGATAGCAAGGAGCGGGTTAGCCAGAGGGCGGCGACGATGATTCCGCCTGTGGGTGGTTATTAGGTTTGTCAGTGCGGTGTGGGAGGGTGAGATGTTGGGTAGTGACGGACTCTTGTGCTCTTGTACAAGAGGGGTGAGCTTTTCTGGCTTGAGGTATTTGGTTGCCAGGTCGGTGGTGGCGGTCGTGTACTTTTGTAGAAGGGGGGTGAGCTTTTCTGGCTTGAAGAATTCGGTTGCCAGGTTGGTGATGGCGGTCGTGTCGAGGTCGAATGGGATGGACTTGCCGGGAGTTGGCTTTGCGTCTGTGGTGGGGTTTGCTTCCATGGTGGGGTTTGTGTCTATGATGATGCTTGGTGTGAGGTGTCGGAAGTTGTGCATGTAAGTGCTTTCAGAACGGTAGGTGTAAAGGGTGTCGAAAAGACGGGTGTTAAGTACCGACAAAAAAGGGGAAAGGTGGGGGAGGTTTTGGAGGCAATATCTCGCAAGCGGGGGATGCTCGAGGGGATTTCGGGGGACTGCTTTTGGGGGTAGAACCTGACAAGTGGGCATTAAATGGGTAGATTCTGTCAATGTTCGCGTGTTTCCTCTAAAGACTGACAGTGGTCACAGTTGCACAGGCGCCACGTGGGAGAGGGATGGGGTCTGACTTGGATACGGTCGGGTCACAGCCTATGGAGAAGAGTTTGCGAGGATGCTGAGCGAATACCAGAGTAAGAGGGATAGGAAAATCAGACGAACGAGTGAGGATGAGTGGTCGAGGTTTGATGATTGGCTGAATGTGTGTTGTGAGTGGAGGCTTCCACGGGCGTTGGGCAGCAATGCCGCTAGTTAGACACTGGCCGCAGGCAACAGGACGCACACCCGGGGTATGAGCCCACTGGAGTCCTTTGGGCTATGCAGGAGAAAATGGTCAGGTTTGGGTACATTGAATGTACATCAAAGTCATGGATGTTGAATTTTCCTAATCAGTGCGCGCAAGCACGAAGTATCTTTTCCTCGTAGTAGTAGTAGAAAAGATACTTCTTGCATCAGAGATATTCCCTACCTGATCGAGCAGAAAGTGCTCCACACGGCATCGGCGGCAAGATCCACTAGCGGGTCCTTCCGTTGCTTACAAGCTACCCCTCCCTCCCCGTGACTTTCCCTGCTCCCTTTTTCTTTCTCTTTGATCTTCCTCTCACACAAGTCCACCCTTCCCATTTTTGATACAGCAGAAAGAGAAAAGGACAAATCTCTTCTGCAGTGGCACGAGCTGCTCGTCTCTACGCCTCCAGGCACGCTTTTTGCATCTTCGCCCCACCTAAGCCCACACGCCGCCAGTCGCCGCTGGGCTTCCCCGATCGCCTCGCCTCGCCTCGCCTGCCTTGCCGGTCACATATTTGCAAGCAGCCGCTGCGCTGACAAGCTTGAATAGAAAAGGTGGGAGAGCCCGCTATTGGCCTGGTAGAAAGAGACTTCAGGACACTCCTTTGAGATTGGATAGACATGCCGAAGCTGCATGAGCAAGCATTTTTCCACAACCAACCACCTCCCTGGATTTTCGGGGGTGTCGGTGGGGTAGAAACGCACATTCCGGGGTGGAAAGGCTGTGGGTATGGTGAGCAAGCGGATTTGATGTACGAAGTGCATCCCAGAAAGTACTTCTCATACATGTTTTCACAGAACGCCTGTCTTCAGTGTCCGCGGAAGGATGAGACACCCACTCGGGCCTTCCTGATTCTACAGCATCATACACTGCCGTACCTCCGATAACACAGTATTCACCAAATCAGAACGGGAGAATGGAGCAGGCCATCCAGTTCTTCAGGTTGCAGCAAATTCCCGTCCTGGAGCCCGGCCAGGCCGAGTACAGACAGGCCATCGCAACCTCCAACCTCCTCTTCCGCTTCTCCCGCCCCGACTGTGTCGTCCAGCCCAAAAACGCCGCCCAAGTCCAGACCATCATCAGAGAGGCAAAGGCTGGGTCGATCAAGGTTACCATCAAGTGCAATGGCCACTCCTACGCCGGCCACTCGACCGCCTTCAGCGGCATCTCGCTCGACCTGCGCGGCATGAAGAAGGCCGAGCTCGACATGAAGGCCATGACGGTCACCATGGACGCCGGCTGCCAGTGGGGCGACGTCTACGAGAAACTAATCATCGGCAACCACGACGGCTTCATCATCAACGGCGGCCGCTGTCCCACGGTCGGTGTCAGCGGCTTCATCCTCGGCGCCGGCCTCGGCCCCTTCACGCGCAGCTTCGGCATGGGCGCCGACACGCTCGCCGAAGCGACTCTGGTCACCGCCAACGGCTCCCTCATCACCGTCACCGAGTCCGACCCGCCCACCTCGGACAAGGGCCGTCTCTTCTGGGCCCTCCGCGGCGCCGGTGGCGGCAACTTTGGTGTCGTCGTTCAGATGAAGCTCCACGTCCAGAAACTCAGCAACCGCCACGGCATGGTGGTCGCCGGACGGTACCAGTGGTTCCCCAAGTCCGGCTTTACCGACGCTGTCATGGCCACTATGAACGCCTTCTACGCCACCCCCTGGCCCGACAAGCTCACCATCGACACCACCTGGATCTGCGACCTGCGCCAGGCCTCCAACGAGGGCGGCGTGCGCTTCAACGTCTCCTTCGACGGCAGCAAGGGCGAGTACGACCGGCTGATCACCAAACACATCACCCATCCCGAGCTCCAGACCCAGCTCAAACGCCGCGTCCTCCCGGAGAAATCCACCCGTTTTCTCTACGAAACCCTCGTCGCGCAGTGGCTTGAAGAGGCCGAGCGCGCGTACCCCTCCAACAAAACCTACGAGCTCTACAGCTCCTTCATCTTCACCAACTCCTCCCCTGCTGCCCTCGCAACCATCACCACCGCCATCCGCGAGCTCATGAAAACCTTCCGCGACGACTTCAAGGGCGAACAAGTCAACTTCCTCGTCACGTGGATCCACTCCGGCGGAAAAGCCTCGGAACGCCAGCCCACCGACACGGCCTTCTTCTGGCGCGAGGCCGTCTTCCATACCTATGTGACCGTGGAATGGGCCGACAAGTGGATGGAGCGGGACATGCGCCGCTTCTTGGCAAGTGTCAAAAAGAAGCTCCGCCCGCTGTCGCTGAACGGGGAAGCGTCATTCGTGAATTTCCCCGACAGGGATTTTCCGACAAAATTCCATGAGAGGGCGTATTTCGGGGGGAATAAGGACGAGTTGAGAAGGGTGAAGCAGATGTGGGATCCGGATGGGTTTTTCAGGTGGATTCAGGGGGTGAGGAGGCCCGGGGATCCCGAGGAGGATGAAGTCGGGGAGGATGAAGATCGGACGGATAAGTTGGCTAGTGAGCAGTGGGGAAGTCAATGGAAGCATTATCAGGTGGAGGACCTGGAGGATGATTTTAATGATTTGGCGGATTTGGGTTATGGGGAGGATGACTAGGGTGAAGACCCTTAGTGCTATCAGTTATCCCCTCATGTCCTAACATTAGAGTTTGTTACGTTTGGAGATTCGGCCACTTAATCATGTCACCCTTCTTCCCAGCGAAGCGCTCGGATGTAGTCGATCGGTTGGAGGAAGAGGTATGGAGGTATGCTGCGAGGGCTGATGAAGCGAGGGTCCATGGCGATTGCGAGGACAGAAACCGATATTGCTGCACAATAAATTGTGGTACATGTTTTGAACTCTGGAAGGTTTGCATGTGTAGCAGAGTGGAGAGGTGGATCCGAGTTTTGTCAACGCTTGCATAGCAGTATCCCCTTTAGATATTTGAAAAGCGTCGATGCTCGATCCACAGATCGACCAGCATATTTTGGAAGACTGCTTGACACATTCGATGAACGAAAGGTGTCAAACGTGGTCGTGCTGAGTAGTATTGGGCCAACGCCGCTCAAACTGTCATGGGATCTGAGGAGTTGTATGATAGCCTGCGCAAAGAGGCCGACGGCGAACCAGGCAAGTTTATCTGTGTGCTGCTTCAAGGACCACACTGCCTCTGGTATGAGAGACCTTCTCCTTATCAAAGGGGGTCTAGCAGACATATTGAGAAGTATGATCTAACACTTGGAAAGAAAAAAAGGTGGGTTCAAAAGAGAGAACATGGGAGCGTGAAACGGAGCAAAGTGTGTGGTTTACCACGATCTAAATAGTTTTTGTTAAGAGCCTTGCTTAGATGATCACGAGAGAACTATATTGATTGGATTGAGGCTTTTATCTTTGAGAATGATTAGACGGATTGAATGGTGATGGTCCAAACCGGATCAATCCAGATTGGAGATTTGGTGAATTTTACCGCGCTAAACTACAACAGGAAGATCGACGTCTTAAGCGACCAGCTCAACCAATTAGATGCACAAGGCAAATTTGTTGGGGAGGCGGCTGAGAACTACGCTAAGAGGCCGGAGGCCGGCTGCTCCAGGCCAATAGTAACTAGCCTCCGCAATACCGAACAGCTACCCCGCCACCTTAGCTACGTCGCCACCACGAGCTAGATTACATCTTACGCAACAACGCATTGCAATCGCCACAATCTAACGTCGGCAATAGATTCGCATAGGTAAGTTTACCCATCCTGGAACTTGGCGTTGCGGTCTGGCTCCAAAAACGCGCCCCTCATTACCAACACCAGCCAATATCATGAGATCTCAGGGATTTCAGGCACAACCTCCACCGGCCTACGCTCTCCTTACTCAGGGCCCTTAGCTGGGTGGTTGTATTGTACGGAGACCTCATTTCTGTGCCTTGATTTTCTAAATATCACCATGTCATGGCTATTTTTAAGGGGAAGTTTTTCTATATTTGTTGAAGCCTCCATGAATTAAGCAATCTACCAAGCGGATTGGGCCAGATTGAGGTTTGATTAGCCAGCGGATTGACTGATTGGATTATTAGAACCTTGGATTAACTGGCCGGCCGACGGACGGATTGAGGAGTGGACGGATTACCAGTGAAGGAACTGGACCGGGTTAATTTGGACTGGAGTGGACTGGGTTGGGTCCACCTTACTATATTAGGCAATCCTTTAACTATATGAAGATGCTTCTAACTTATATAGGAGTAAGCTAAGCCTAAAGAAAATCTGGACTGGGTTGGATTTGACCCCGAACCCAACCCAACCCAGTCCAGTTCCATCACTGTGCATTACTGCCCATGCTGTCTAACCCGACGCTAAGGACCCTGCATTTAAGCGCTAATGGATCTTTCTTTCAACCTCCCCTCCTCCCACTGCACCAACACCAGAAAGGACAGAAATTTCCGAGCCCGTTTATGATTGGACCATCGTGCAGGCAGAAAGACAGCGTCTTTCAAGTATCTTCATCCAGCCGCAGCAGACGCATCAACCCCTCCTTTGCTTTTTTTCTTCACAAGTATCAGCGACAACTGCATCGTGTGATTTAGGTGCTTTTGTACAGCCATTACTACCGTTTATGGAACAGAAATACCAGACACCCGGCTAATTATTTAATATGCTAGAATGATCGCAACTAGATACTCCCAGCCTTATTTCGCAAAACATAGTCACCGCCCTCGAATCCTTTAGGAGTCCGGCCCGCTCCCGTTCTGGCCTGATGCCAACTGTCGTACACATCTGTTGCAAAGAGCCTGCGGGATTTTCTGCAGTGTACCGAATCCGCTTCGCTAATTTATCTTCTATTGGACCAACCATCAGTCTGTATCAAGGCCACCAACCCGTAGAATTGGGTTCTTTGCGCGTGAAACAACCTAATTAACCAACTTGTCAGCCAACGTGGGATTCATGCATGGCAATAGGATACTTAATCCTATATTTGTAACACTGATAAGGCTGTATTTACTTTTACGAGGTCCTGCAGGCCATACCTCGCGAAGAGCTACACAATGCCTAACGGTCTTTTGCATTGCCGGAATAGGCTGACTGCAGCATATTTTTTAGTATCCCTGTTTATCTGAATGCCCGTACATTCGAGCTAACACCTTTGGAATCAAGACGGTATCTCGCGTGCTACAAAAAATTCCCTCGAAATGAGGAATCATGGCTGCTTCTAAGATTCCTATTCACAAATCCTTTTCCTACCGAATCCAGCTTAAATGTGAATGGTCTAACGCCGCAGCCACGAATGCAGATATGGTTAGTCCAAGGATATGCTTTTTTCGGACCCTCCGAAGCTCGGGAACTCGGGCCGATGGAACTTGAGCCTTGAACTACCCCAAGACAGGCCAAGAGCAAACATCTGAAAACTTGTGTAAAAGTCTTTGACCGGAAATGTCTTTGGCGAAAATATTGGAACCCCACAAACGTGAATAATCGGCAGATTGAATGACTGGTATGCTTTTCGGATTCCTTGAAAAGCGTTCAGGCCATCCGAAGGATACGAGAGCTTGCGAGCCGCATATTCCGAAATTCGGTCGACAATTTCTTCGCTCCTCTTGCCAATCCCATCATTGTGGGAAAAGAGACCCAGAAAATTGTGGCGAAATCTCTCAAAGCTCTTGATATGAAGAGTCTTGTAAGGCGTCGATAGGCTTTCTTGACAATGCATGGCCGAGCACTGAAAATGTGTTTGGGATTCGGTAAAGACCGGAGTCTCTTTCACAGGAGCCCTTCTTAATACGTCCAACTTCTCGTGCTCCACGCGGATTGCTCAACTTCGCATTGTATTGCGGGTGGTAATGCAATGAATTGTGCTCGGCCTAGTTGAACACGAGGTAGCTATCTCCGGGCTATGGCCCGCACCGGCAATGATGGTTAATATTGAATTTGCAAACGATATCTCCCATTCGTTGGATCTGTGAGTGCTTTTCGTTGATGTTGTCCTGAGGAATACAATAACGATCGACCCACATGTATCGAAATCCAAGTGCGATCACATTTACCATCGAGTCTTCGATCGTTTTCTCACAAGGTTCCGGTAAGGTTGCGGTATTCGAAACAGAACGCAGGGATGATTGACCCCATATATAACTGAGCGAGAGGTAAGGTTGCAAGGAATTATCCATATCAACCAGTGTACGAGACTTACAGTCGATGACTATAAGCTTCATAGGTACTAATAAACCCCGCTTGCATAGTTTCGTGTGGTGGCTATTGCAAAATTCCAGCCACCTTCCAACCCGTTTGTACTCAATTTCTTAGATTTGATAGGTTTGCCGTGGATGCGAGAGTCATGTCTACCATTTTGGTAGACAAAAAATACGCGTCTTTTCGTCTCATACTTTGCTTCTCAAGTTTTGCAAGACAATATCTGTAAAGGAAAGTGGGAAGGTAAAATCGCTAGCTGATGCAACGCGCCGTATAGGGGAGGTCCCATGACGACGTCGTAGGATAATACAGACGCAGCACTACCTCGAACTGGTCCCCACTTGACTGTGTCGAAAAACTGACACAAATCACAACTTAAAATGGAGTCACTTCGTAAAACGGGGATTCTCCTGATAGAGTCGGCGTGATCCAGAATTGCTGAGAAATCTATGTCCATACAGTGAGAGCAAAGATTCGTCAATTGCTCGTCTCGAAAGACTTCCTCAATCCAGGCACTATCTAAGTCGACCACTTTTTCATCAGCATTGAGTGAGCTTGGCAGATGTGAAATTTCCTCGGAGCACAACTTTCGTTGTTGAAGATCTTCGCAACTCTCCTGATTAGAAGAAGTGGACAGTAAGCTAGGGCATAAGCTTGATCTATGGTCCGAGACCTGTTCGGTTGGATACGACGCCATCATAAGCTTCGCTAACTGGATGTTGTAGCTACTACTGTATTGCTGTTGACGAGCTGATTCCTCGTGTACGGTGTGCTGAATCTAGTGCCGACATAGCTGTTAGCTGGGAGCAAAGGAAAAGCTATATGTCAGAGTTCTAGCGCGGTCCGGGTATGAATTTTAGCACTCTCGTGAGACATACCTAATCGTATTCTGGGTAGCAGAAACCCCCTTGAAGCACGGTGAAAGGCTTTTGATATTGGCCAATGAAACGTTTGCGAAGTCGATATTGAGTACAAGGCCGTGGACTTAGCAAGTAGCCAACTTGTGACCTGCGATACTCTCCAGACGAGCGGACGCTTACGGAAAATGCTGTGATAAGGTCACGGTCGCAAAGAGCAGAGAGCGCGATAGTTTTCGCCGACTGCAGAAGGATAAAAAGGCGGTAAGGTGGTGGGATTAGCGCGATGAGGCGTGAATCGTGATGCTGCCTGGCGAAGACCCTGAGCTGAGCACGGCCTCGTACTTCCGGTCACGCTTTATTTCTATTAAAGCCAATCTTCCCTGGAATGTCTTTCAGAGCGTGAGGCTCTGCTCGGGCAGTATGTACCTGTTACTCGTGCTATTTTCGAGCCGTTCTTCAAGGAGCAGTTGCTGATCATCTCAATCATTTCAGCCGGAGGGAAGTTTGAATTGGCCGCACCGCCATTGGCTTGGGCTCGAGGTATTTGCTTTTATCATATATCGACCAAAAATATGACTGTCAAGGTGTGTAAAGGCCCGTGATATGATGACTCTCCACGATTGCTCTCAATCAATAGTAGATGCTCTCATCGTTTCGCTGAAATGTGACGAGTTACCGTCCTAGCATTGCGGCTGCGGAGCCTTGCTATCCTACTACTTGACTTTCTTCTCGAAGATCGTAGGAGCAGTCTTGATTCACCACTCTACCCGTGTATCCCAACTCTAAAGTGTGATATCCCAAGGTAATCAGCCCAATCAAAGGTATGGCAACGACAAAATACACCCAGAATAGCTTCCCTCCAGGTCTATACGGATCAGGCATGCTTAAAAAGGAAGAGACGTACGCAAGAGGAACGAACACGACACCTAGTATTGTGAGCGCCTTCACACTCTTCGCCTCGCGAATCGACCGCTCCGTCGCCTGAAGTGCAAGTGTCTGTGCCATGACCGCCTGACGATTGTTCGTGAGCCCAGCCAGGGCCGCAGTCGAGCCATTTAGACTGTTTGCACGCTGTCCAATCTCCTTGAGACGCAAGCATAAAAACTGGTAGTCTACTGTGCTATCTTTCCAGTCCGTCGCATGTTTCATGTTGGGGCTCTCCAGTGATATCCGAAGTTGCAGCATGATTGCCTCGAGGTCGTCCTTGTATTCACCGATGCGTCTTTCTAGCGCTTGCACGTCGCTCCACTGCTCCTCCACCGCGGCAATAGCGAAGCTTGTCAGGTTTCGTTGCCGAGACAGGTTGAATTGGACTATGTCGATAGTTGACTGGAGGAATTCCGTTAGCTTCAGGTAGTGACTAGCGACAATCTTCTCAACAAAGAATCTCAGCGAAATTGGGTCGGCTAGATTAAGCACGCTTGAATGACTGCTTAGGTAGAAGGTAATATCTTCCAGGAAAGACGACCTTGGTGGTTCCGATTGGCTCCTGATTTGGTCTTCGTGCGGCACAAAGTCTACGTAGCCCGCGTTATATGGCGACATTGTGACGTTATGACCCGCTATACCACAATAGTCTGTAAGTATACGTTTTACTGGGGGGTCACATATAATGAGGCCTATGAGATTATCAGAACTGTGCTGATATGTCATAATCAAGCTACACTCACAATCCCATCCGCCGCCTTTCGTTTTCTTAGACCAAAAAGTGCATTTGCGCCTTGCAATACCAACTTCGGAGAACTTCCCCTTGATCCTGGTGACCGCAATATGCCGTCCTGACACATCGCACAGGTTTCGGAAGGAGGTGGGAGGTTTGGAGAGCACTAGAGGCTCATGGTACTTGAGCGAAACGTAGTCCCTGCTACAGATAGCGGACGGCAAGAATGGAATGCCACCGCCTTCCCCAGTAGTACGGTTATTGAATGGTACAAGCCTCTCATGATCGCTAAATATCGCAGGATGTAGTTGAAAGTTACACCCAAGAACCACAGCGAACTCAGGAGAGAGAGCCTCGAGGACATAGACTGATCGGTGTGGCACAGTCTTGGAGTGTGGAAGCTGATGAAAGTAAGCTTGTAGCGTTTTCGAGTCTTGATATTCTGTTGCCGGTCCAAAGGAACCATCTGGGTCGATATGAAAGGCCACAACCCTCGGTCTGGCCCGCTCCCATGGACGCCAGGCTGATTTCAGCGAGGAAGTTTTCGGCCATGTATCTCTAGACCGAGGATCTGTCTGATCCGCGAAGTTCCAGAATCTGTCGTAGCTCTCTAAATCGATGTGTTCCCCCATGGCTCAGTCTAACAAGATTGTTCGAAGTTAGCTGAGTGTGCTGCGATGTAATAAAAGATAATTTAAAATAAGGTGGTAAGGCTGTCGATAGGAACAAGCAGGTAGGCAGCAGTACATGGGCATGCAGGCAGTCTCAAGTATGCAGCAGTACGTGGTCATGCAGGCAGTCTCAGGGCGGCTGAGTGCATGCAGGCGGTATCAGGGCGGCTGAGTGCATGCAGGCCGCATGCGTCGCGTATTCAACGATTGAAGGGAGAAGAAACGGCATCCGATGGGAGCAAAGCGCGAAATTTGAGGCCTAACCTTAACTAACTCGCCCTCGGCGCTTACTCCACTACTTGATCAAGTTATCATCGTACAGCTTGATTTCACACTATATTGCGATCAAAGGTTCACTCCATCATTATACTACTAGCAATTTCGAAAGTCGGTGTTACCGAAGTTCCCGAACACCAAACAAACCAAACAAAAATTTCCACAGGCAAATCTTCCCATCCCAAGTCTTAACTTTCGGGCACCAGGGACTCGGAAGTTTTAATGCCAGCAGCTATTTAGCTAGATACTCAGAGTTCACAGACGAATATGACCGACTCTACGGCCCAAGCAACTCCCGGCTCCTCTATTTGGAATATTCCAGGTCTCGATAAGGACACATTCTACGCTGCTGCTCTTTATCTTCATGCATCCAAAGGGCAACTCGAAGGAAAACCATTGGCACGCGCCCCAAAGACTCCCCAGGCCACACGGGATTTCCTTGATCGCCTCGCGGATTGTTTCGCCCGTTCTAAGCTTCAAGATGCCCGTGACCACGTCTCTGCTACTGCGATGGTGAGAAATGATGAGCAAAAGGAGATTACGCTCTATATCGCCAAAAATCAAAGCAACAAGGAATGCAAACCTTCAATTTCTCATGAAGAACAAAGCGCAATTGTCAACGAGAACGAACAGTTTGCGGGAACTTTGATGACATGGTTCAGCGAGTTGGCTAGCGAGGATACTGCTGAAGCCGACAATGATGTTACTGATCGGTATTTGGATGTCTTCGAGGCCATGTGCATGTTCAGTCAGTCCCGTCTCGAGCATTATATCGAAAAGATAGGCGCGTGCGATATCGAAGATCTGGAGCCTGTAGTACTCCTCAACGTGGGAGCTAAGTTCACGGACGGCTGGAATGCAACCAAGCCTCTCATCGATGAATGCAGTCGTTATCAGGAAGCCAAAACTAACCTAACGAACTTTGTCGAGCAGATGCCTTGCCTTTTAAGGACTTATACACTTTTGGCTGGCCAAGTTCGTAAGAATCCCGACTTTCAGGAGCTTGCGGATAAAATTGAGATTTTGGGTTCGGATATGGCTACGAAACTGAGAGGCGTTGCACAGACAGTAAAGTGGGTCAACTACCTTGGTCGACTTTGGGCTGCGTATGTCAACTTCCTTGTGTTCTGCAGACACGAGGAGCAGAGCGGATATACCTTCAAGCATGAATTGCTTCCTTCACAAGAAGACAAATGGAGCGGTGACGCGTACCTGCAAAAGATTCGCTCATGGGTCGGGAATCTGGACTTGCAGCGGGATACGCGCAAATTCGTGAACGGCAGAACGGTCATCGCCCGCGACAGCGTGGAGACAGTCATGGGCGATGTTATTAAGAGGAGCGGGAACAGGGCTCGCGTACATTGCGAAATGCTGCTTATGATGCATTTCTCGCAACCAGGCGTCGAGAAGTGCCTGGACTACTTTGGCTGCAGCAAGAAGTCTTGCTGGCTCTGTTGGCAGATGATCCTGCAAAACAAGCAGCGTAGCATGAAAGACACTCATCGCAAGCTCTTTCCACTATGGGCATTTCCTTTCGATTTCTCTACAGCACAGTCCGCTGTCGCGGAAGGACTCCGGGCTGCACATAACGAAATGCTGTCGCTCATCCAGGACATGGTAATCAAGCAAATCCCTCTCAGCGACCTTGAACCATATCCGCAGACTTCGGCTCGAATTACTCCGACTCACCGACGCGCTTCGATCGGCGACACCAGCGGCATAGATGCTGAATCAGGCTTATTCTCAGGCAACCCACTCATAGGACCAGACTCAGCCAGAATGCCAATCATTGTTGTACCCGCTCTCCATCTCCCCGCACATGATTCTTCCGGAGACGTACGCCGAGTAAAAATATGGGGTTATAACAGGGATGAATCGAGTTTCGACGAAAGGCTTTTCATTAGCGATCCAATACTGAAAGGCAAAGTAATCTCACTTGCCTTTCAGCTTCTCGCACTTCATGACTACGACAAGCTATTGGGCTTCAAAGAGGCTCGGAAACGACATTCTTGGGACACCGTGCGATTTCCAAACTTCAAGACGCGTGCGCACACTTACACACTTTATTATCGCTCTGCGAATACGTTAGCACCAAATCCTTGCCTGCTCTCGATCTGGAGAACCATAGAGGACGAAGACTTCGCCTTTTTCCCTTACAGAGGAGACGCATTCATCATAAAGCAGAAGTATCAAGACCCCTCTCGCGGCGAGCTTGAAGGAGGACTTCGGCCCGAGCTTATGGGAGAATCTTCGCACATCGATGATTTGGAATGTTTGCAGGATTTGAAATCGCATTGGGAAGTCTTGTCACGCCTGCCGCAGCGTGGGCATTAATCCGTCCAATCCTCAATCCGTCCATCGGCCGGCCGGTTAATCCACACCTATTTAATCCAATCTAATAATCCAGAGGTCTTTCAATCCTCAATCGGATTACCGGATTGAAAACGCGTCTTTACGCGTTGTTTTGGGTCCGTGTCACCCCAATAACCCCCCAGTTTTCACCCCACTTGCCACTTACTATACTGCTTCGAGTGGTCTTGGCAGTGGATTGAAAGGATTGATTTAATTCTTATTAATCTATCCAATCAATCCTAAAGTTGACCGTCTCAATCCAATCAATCCAAAGGCCTCAAACTGCGGCCGGATTACTGCCCACGCTGGTCACGCGGCTATGAAAGATATTCTAACCAGCGATGGGATTGGATTAGAGTGGACTAGATGAGGCCTTAAATCCACGCGGTCCACTAGAAATCTCTACGGAGCTCCAGGAGCTCCATGAGCTATATAGCAAGGCAAACATAATGTGTATTTACGTGCAAATATAAGGCAGTAGATTGCCTAAAATAGTAAAGCGCGGGAGAATTTTAAAGTTAAAGCTTTGCCTATTTCGGACCCTGGGAAGACTTTTGAAAGGAGACCTCCCAAATTTATCCGAGGGCCTATCAACGAATATGGCCTTGTGGAGATGAGATCGTGATTGTGCATAGCATACTGGATGATAGGACACGAATCCATGTGCCGTTTTGGAAAAGAGCCGGAAGACGCTACACCTAAGATTGAACGCCTTTAAGATGAAGAGTAACATCCAATTCTCATTTTGCTCTGTGCCACACGTCCCCTAACACATCCCTCCAGCTTCAAAAAGGCACTCCTCCCTCCCATTCACTTCTTCAAACTCTCCAACAACTCCTGACTCTCCTTCGACTCCGCCATCAAATCCCGCGCCGGCTTCTCAAAACTCCTCGCGTGCTCCTTCACCTTCTCCCCGCTCTTAATGACCTCGTAATTATACCCAATGGTCATCTGCAGCGTCTCAACATCAATGAACGCCAGCTCATCCGGACGGATCTTTTCCAGGTACTCCGGATCCTTGAACGCGTCCTCGAAGGTCGCGAAATCGCGCACGTAGGCGTCGGTGAAGCCGTCCCAGGGTTGCATGTCGCGGCCGGCGGCTTTGGCCATGGCGGCGCCGAGGGCTTTGGTTTCGTCGGTTGTGTGGGCCTGGGGGTGGGGTTAGAAATCATGGGGGAAGGGAGTGGGGGATGGGTAGGAAAGTGCTACTTGAACGTATTCAACGACGCCGTGCCGCATCATGAAGTCTGTGCATAGCGGGCCGTGGACTTGGGTCCAGTACTGGTAGAATTCCTCTTTTGAGACGCCGGGTTTGCGGCGGATGAAGGAGGAGATGCGGATGAGCTTTTCAGAAGCCATGATCACCGATCTAAATAGTCTGGTCCGAGATTCTGGGAAGTGACGAAGTATGGAAGATGTTGGGCAAGCTTGGGGGGGGGGGGAAGTTGAAGATTGATTGTTGTAGGATGTCGTCTATTATATCAATGGTCTCCTCCGGAAAAGGCTATCCGGCTAGGTGGGTTCTGGTCTTCCTTACGGCAATGGAGTTGATATCCCCGCAAATGGGACGCCAAGACACGGGCTTTGAAGACCGGATGGATCTTTCGGCCTGCGATTGGCTGTGTTTTCACTGCTCTTTACGGCTCATATAGGCTTTTTCTCGGAGCACGTGAAAGTCACGTGCCGCGTACTTCTCTAAAATATAAGTTCTCCTTGCTTCCTTTCAGTGCTCTATGTAAGCTCCCAAGGCTTTGAGATTCACCCTTGGTCGAAACTTCACAAAGATGTTCACAATGGAAGTGGAGAGCGGAGGGGTTTGCGGCCAGCATATCCCCGAATTGAATGTCTGGTAGTGGGAGACGGGGCCGTGTGGAACCAAAACGAAAGAGAAGATCACCAGAGTGTCTTGCTGATGGCGAGAACGCCTTTGTCTTGATGCCCTCAGTCACTCAGACAGTGTTGCTCAACGTGGCTGCACGTTCCTTCCGAAGAACATTGACCATCTTTGAAAGGAGAACATCATCATAACTCCATGCTGGTGGGAAACATCACGAGCCCTGCGCACTTGGTTCATGGTCTCTTCTTCCTCAACAGTTTTACTCAATCCTCCAGTACCAAGCGCAATCCTCCATACGAGTTCTGGCCTCTCGATTTCGACAGTCGCACATGTGGTGGTGGTGGTGGTAATATTGATGACCTTAGGCCAGCCTGCCTATGAAATAATCCAAAGCCTAGGTAGGAGGAGGCTGAGCTTTTATATCAGCACAGATGAAATCTCGGAGGACAAGTTAGTCCTTCCGATGTCTCGTGACTTCACGTGACTCTCAGAGTGTGAGATCTGCGGTTGGCTATCACCGCTCCTCTCCATATTTCAGCACTAAAAACAAAGCCGATAGTTTGTTTCCATCGTTGCTTACAGATTTATACGACTTCTGGAAATTAGCACTGATTTCCGACCTTATGGAATGACCTGAGTCGGACCTGGATCTCGGTCTTTCCGATCTCCGCCAGAACGACACCTCGTTACAAAGCAACCTTGGAGTCCGCACATCTTAAGTCCGCGCACCATCACTACCTTGTATCCTCTATACATCAAGGGAGGTCAGTATATACCCATTTGGGCAAACGCTCCTATTTCCCCACGAAATTTTCCCCTTTACGTCAGCGCTAGTTCTCATATCTTAAAGTTTGATCTCAACGACTTGGTTTATTAATAGATCGGAGAACCTCCACTCCATCATCTTCTATCATCACCGCGAAGAAGCCTTCGGATCTGAATCGCAGATTTTACCCGCTGGGCACTCGCATTAGAAATCAAGCATCCTACCGGACGAATATCAACGCATCAGGGATCTGATTCCCAAATAAAAGCCAAGCGGCATCCCATTTTCCTACATATAAATATCAACTCGATATACTTCATCAAATCCAGCAACCCTCTCTCACCTAAAATCCACCCTAAGAAACCACCCCACAATGGCCCCCACTCGCATCGGCCTCGTCGGCCTCTCCCCCAACGCCATCTCCGCCTACGCCTCCACCGCCCACCTCCCCTACCTCACCCACTCGCCCCACTACACCATCACGGCCCTGTGCAACTCCACCATCCCCTCCGCCCGCGCCGCCATCGCCGCCTACGCCCTCCCGGAGAGCACCGCCGCCTACGACTCCGTGGCCGAGTTATCCAAAGACCCCAACGTCGACCTCGTCGTCGTCAGCGTCAAAGTCGGCCTGCACGCCGCCCTCGTGGCCCCGGCTCTCGACGCCGGCAAGGCCGTCCTCTGCGAATGGCCCCTCGGCGTCAACGCCGGCGAGGCCGCGCAGCTCGCGGCGCTCGCGAAGCAGAAGGGCGTGAAGACGTACGTGGGCGCGCAGGCGCGCTTCTCGCCGCCCGTCGCCGCGCTGCGCCAGCTGCTCGCTTCCGGCGCCATCGGGAAAGTGCTCTCCACGGATGTCACCGCGACCTTCGGCCCCGCCATCGACATCTGGATGAAGAGCGCCGACTTCTACCTCGACCTCAAAAGCGGCGGCAACCCGCTCGCGATCCGCTTCGCGCACTTCGTCGACGCGTTCTGCAACACGCTCGGCGAGTTCGCGGCGTATGATAGTGTGTTGAAGACGAATGGGAAGAGCGTGAAGGTGTACGACATCGCGATGGGCGAGATGGGCGCGGTGGCGCGGGAGCCGGAGAGTAAGCCGTACGAGATCATGACGCGGACGTCGCCGGATGAGATTTTGCTGCATGGGACGCTGGTGGGGGGCGCGGTGGCAGGGTTGCATTTTCGGACGGGGGAGCGGGAGGTGGATGGGAGTAGCTTTAGGTGGACGATTACGGGGACGGGGGGGATTGTGCAGGTGAGGCAGAGTGAGACGATTAATTATATGCAGGATGGGAGTGTGAAGATCGAGATGCGGAAGACCGGGGGAGAGGTGGAGGAGGTGCCGGTGGAGTGGGAGGATGATGTGGAGGGGATGTATGGGGGGGCGGTGTCGAATCAGTCGAATACGGGGAGGTTGTATAAGGCGATTGCGGAGGGGAGGGGGAGCGAGGTGATGGATTTTGAGGGGGCGGTGGTGAGGCAGGGGTTGATTGATGGGATGATTGAGCAGGCGGAGAAGGGCGCTTGAGGTTGGGATTTCAGGACAATTTATTGTTGGATCTGGTAATTTCATATAGGGGGTTTGTAGGTAGCGCGGATATGATTTTATTAATGAGCACTGGATGATTGCCGGTTTCACGCTTTTAAGGCCTTCAGGTCTGGACTAGATTTCTGATCCCATGCTGGAACACCTTAACTAGTACCGAGCAAAAGTACGCACTGATACTATACATATGAGAATATTAACAACACTAGACGACCGCAAGATTCACGCTCCGGGTGACTCTATATCTTAGCCATATTTCTGATAACAAGTTGAAGCACTCCAAGCCGTATCATTCAAGTGCGCGCTTATATTGGCAATGTGATAGAAAAAAAGATAGCAATGCAAATAGCGGTGGACGTCGTTCTACTCATTCATTCATCGCTGTCATGGGTGCTCAACACACTTTCAGAACTAATCTCAATTGAATTTTATCGGTTTGAGCTATCATAAAATCCGCTGAGCACCCTCAGACGGCGCCGCCTCGCGCGCTGGAGATAACTCCAGCAGCAGACTCACCACGCCAATTTGCTCTCACAGGGCCCCAAAGCCGGAGGCCGACGACGTGCATGCTCTCCAGCCTCTAAGTCATCCAGCCTCCGAAAACCCTCCCAAGAAATCCCGGCGGCGGCATCGCAGTATCGGGTGCGTCTTGCTGCACGCGCGATTCTACATCCTCTGGCTCTCGCACAGGTTCTGGCGCAGGGTCTGGCGCAAGCTCTGGCACAGGATCTGGTGCAGGCTCTAGTGCAAGCTGTCGCTCAAGGACAAGGCTAAGCATGTCGCGGAGTGCCTCCACTACAGCGCGTTCTTCGTTGATCCGATTCAGGAAAGCTGGTAGCGGCATCCGCGCTATGTCTCTTGCTGTGATGCCGGCGGCAAGAGTAGCGTTACGGAAGCGGGCCATATCTGGAATGTTCCTTGGAGGTTCTCCAGCTCGGCGCGCGGCGAATAGTGGTTCTGGATGTGGTGGCTCTGCGATCGGTGGCTCTGCGATCGGCCACTCTTCGTTTTCGAGACGATTAGCGACCGCTTCGACAGCTTCCGCAATCTCTCGCGCATCTGGGGGAGGTATCGCAGGGGCGAGTGTCTGGAAATGCTGACGAACAATCTCGGCACCACGATCACGAAGATCTTGGCCCCGGAAGCCGTGGTCCATGCCGTGCATAATATTGTCTTCCACCACATCCATCAAAACGTGGTCTTCCTCGGCGGGCTGTAGAGCTTGATCGAAGGCTGGGAGTCGGCCGTCGTGTCGTATTACATGGACGAAAGCAGCTTGGCGGAACACCGGAGGAGGCACTGCATCAGCTTCAGCAGGCAGCACAGGACCTAAGTCTGGCATATCGTCGTCCGGAAAGTCTTCGGCGAGTTCTGGAGGATGCTCGACGTCGGCTGGGTCGGCCTGGGCAGGCGGAGCATCGGCTTGAGCTGGAGGCTGCAGATCGGCACCGCCGGCGGGTGGAATGATAGCAGGTCGAGCGTTGTTTGGGGCGCCTCCCGGGGCCGGGTTAGCTTGTTCAGCTACGTTTAGTTCCTGCCTGAGTTCTTGTATGGAGGCCTCTAGGTTCAAAATCCGCTGCCGCCAATTGTCTTTCAAAGCGTCGTCTTGCTCGATATTCAGCTGATGCACCCATGCAGCTCGCTGTTGTTCCATCCACTGAATGTCTTGCCGCAGATCGTCTATAACAAACCAGGCCTGATGGCCAGCCAGCAAGCCATCCAAAAGCTGCCGGACACCCGCTGGAATCTGGGCCGCCGCAGCAAGTGCGAGTGGCGGAGGAGGCAGGGGGCCGTTATGTAGCCAGTTTACGTGAAGGGCTGGGTCCTGTGGAAGTCGGAAAGGTGGAACGGGTGGGAGGGGTGGTGGGGGAATTCCTTGGTCCCACACTCCCATGAAACCGTCTTGATTCATCATCGCGGCCTGGTAAGGGCCGTCCTTAAAAAACTTCGTCGAACAATAGGGGCAGCAGTTTCGGGGCCGCACATCGCCGGCCGGTACGTCGCAGAACCATCGCTTAAGGCATATATGGCCGGCTGCATGACCACATGGGAGGAGAATGGCAAGTTCGGGGGTGTCGCCTTCGTTTTCGATGACACCGAAGACGTTCTTGCAGATAAAGCAGTCTGTGGGCGCTTCACCTAATGTATAAGTCGCCAAGTTGAGATAGTGTGTCGTGCCAACTGAGAGGTAGTCGCGGAAGAATGTTTCGCGATCAGGTAGATTCGGGTCTTGGTCGTTGGCCGCTGGCTCGGCTTGATCAACTAGGAATGCCCCAAGGCCGACTTGAGGTATCCGAATGGGCGCACCCATTATCCTGGCCAATGCAGCTTGATGGGCGATGTTTGGTGGGTCACCAGGTCCCAGGTCGAATTGGCCCAGAATGTCCTGTTGCTCTGGTCGTGCCCGCTCAGGTAGGAATGCGTTGCGATCAGCATGCCAAACCATGGCGTGGTTGGGAAAGGCCAGCGGTGCCCTTCGTGGCCAATTGGCTAACTCCTCGGCATCAATCTCTCGCAGAGGTCCCGCGATAGCAGGCGGTGGACCCGGTGGCGGGCCTAACGGTGGCGGTTCGTTGTCGTCTTCCTGACGCGCCTGAGGATCCTCATTCTCCACAGTCGGAGGCGGTGGAATGCGTGGCAAGTTATCGGCCATCGCGATGGAGTTGTTGGTGAGAGGAGAGAGTGTGGTGATGTGGGATGGTGGTGGTGAGAAGAATGGAGGGTGAGAGATGTCGCGAGCTTGAGGTTGAATGCGTGTGCCAAGCCAGAACGGCAGCGGTGAATGCGGCGACACTGCCCAGTTTGTGGTGCCTTCGCTCGCTTTTGAAGAGGGAAAGAAGATGTACAAGCGAAGTTCTGGAAGATTGGAAAACTGGCCGGGGGACCTCATGCAGCCAGCGGTCGACAACTGTACACAGTATTATCCACAGGAGAATAGTGAATTTCACAGATTGCAGACGAGATGGTGCTGATTTTTAATGAAGCGCGGTGACATGTGACATAATTTAGAGACTCTACCTACAATTGCACTCCCGAGGACAAACTCACAAACTTTGCCCCATAATTCCAATCGGTGGTCTCTGCACGCGCAAGCTACTTTTCCATCACAAAATCTTCACGTGCGCCTTCGATACAGACCAAACACGGCGTTCCATTTCCATATACTAAGTTCGTCGAGTTGAGGAGTAGTCGTGAGATGAGGGCTTAGGATGGCCGGTCTATACTGATTAAGTGGTATGGAAGTCTCCCAGTTCTATGCATGCGGAGATATACCTATAATACAGGAGTGAAGTACAGCGTCTACACAAAGTCTGAGAGCCCTGGTCTTACAACATACCTTTTCTCCACGCCTTCGTCCCCAAAGCTTCAATCTCCTTCACTTCCACTGGTCCTTTGATGGCGCTGTCTCCCAGGGCTTCAACACAGGCTTCGCCCACTGTGTCTGCCTTCAAAGGCTTGACACCACCAGCACCCATCAGCCATGTCAGTTTTCCCCCGACCAGCGAGTTTGCCATTGCACCCATACCCGTTATGGCAGCCATCGGTACTGTGAAACCTCGGGACGAGTCGTACAAGAACGGCGCACGGATAAATATACTTCGCATCGAGGGGAATGCGGCAGCGATGGTAGCTTCGGCTTCGCGTTTCGAGGCGATGTAGCGGCCTGGGAGGATCGGAGCACCGCCAGCAGCGGATATGTAGAGAAAGGATGGGACCTTGTGTGCTGAGGCTTCTTTGGCAAGGCCAATAGCTAGTCATCACTTCAATCAGCCTCCCGCCATCTTCAGAATATCGGGGCGTGTTGGGTGGGCTTCATACCCGAGTCACGATTCATCAGCTCATACGTCAATTGCCCATCCCTTTCCTGGGGCTTCAACGGCTCTCCCTCTTTCCTCTCCAGCGGGTTCTGGCTGCCGCCTTTTGTGCTGCTGAAAGCGCGTTGTAGTCCGCTCACAATCGACTCTCTCCCTTGCAGCACGCCCTTGTAATCGGCTTCTAGCAGTATCCCCATGGAATGCACTACGGCATCGGCGCCTTCAAGGTGGGAGGTATATGAGGAGGGGTTGAGTATGTCGCCCTTCTGCCACGAGACGGCTTGCGCCCATGGCGGGGGATTGGGCGAGGAGGTTACGGAGGACCAGGTGGGCTCGCCGGAGCGACTGCACAGAGGCATTAGCCATGGTATCTCCAACCAATGTACAATTGATAATTGCGAGCTCCTCACCTGATGGAAGTAACTTGCCAACCCCGAGCAGTGGCAGCTTTGCAGATGCGGCTTCCTGAGGGTCAAGTGTCAGCAAGCAATTGAGACGGAGCTGCAAACTCTGGGTGACAATTGCGCCGGCACTGACCTAAAAAGCCATTGCCGCCACACACGACCAGCCTCCTCTTCACTGCTTGAGCCATTGTTGCGTCTCTCACGGCATCGTGCAGTCGGGATCCTGACATCACCACACAAGCGAACATCGGGCCGATCCGACCAGGCGTCAAAAATGGCACCCGACGACCAGCGGCGCTCGAGAAAGCACTCCGAGGGTCAACCACCCCCAGAGTATTCTAACACCACAGATCCCACGCGAGACGAAAGTCATGATACACGGCCAGCTACAGAGACCACGTACGTTCTCATCAGGACTCTTGAACACACACAATCTGCCTTGCCGCGGCACCGCATAGCTCCATCCACCCCACCGAGCCAATCCGTCCAGCCCATACCTACCACCCCCATTTCATCGCCCACGGCACTTGGAGACGTCTAGAATTGCTGATTCTCAATCTTGAAACCCAGGACGAGCCAGCGGAACGCGCTCCCCGCCGCCACGTTGCCTGGACCAGCCCCAGCCTCGCCGACGCAGCCAGCTTCCCAAGGTGATGCTGCATCGCGGCCCAAAAAAGGCCGCCTCGCCAGAGAGCTAGAGAGCACATTCACCGACAACTACAAAGAGCCAAGGGGACGTCGCAGGAAGTCTCGACGACAAGAGACGGTCGCCTCATCCTCGCAGCCAGCGACACCGACCAACAACCAAGCATCGCTTCTGCTAGGCAACGCTCCCGCTCCTCGCCCTCATCCTGGTGCGACGCCTACCCCTCAGCCGCGACCAGCTGTCAAGCCTCCCGTACCCTCCAAGGCCGCTCCTAAGGCTGCCCCCAAGACAGCTCTCAAGCAGACTGCGCGACAGGAACCGCCCAAGGAAGCACCCAAGATGCCACCCGTTACCAACAAGCGTGTCAAGGTGCGTCGCTCTACTCCTTGGTCATGTGGGCGAAACTGATCTCCAATCTAGGGAAAGCAAGTCAGTCGCAACATCAGTACGTCGTAAGCCTTTCCTGACCTCTGGCCTTACCTAACAAGCATCGCAGTCATCGGATCAGAGGCCTGGGACCTCCCCCCCGTAGGCGACCCGAAACGCGACTCCTCCATCCCCGAACAGCATACCAAGCGATGGTCGATATACGTGCGCCAGCCCGAGGGCCACCCAGACATGCGCACCTGGCTGAACAAGGTCACGTTTAAGATTCATCCTGATTACAGCCCCTCTCTGCGAGGTACCTTCTCCCTGCGCGACGAGAACCGAGCCTTGGCTAACTGTCGCACCCAGCCTACGACAACCCGCCCTACGAGATCACCGAGACTGGATGGGGCGGCTTCCAAGTCGACATCCGCCTCTTCTTCCAATCTGTCAGCGGCGAGAAGCCGCAATACCGCAACCACTTTCTACAGCTCGAGCCATATGGCGAAGACGCGGCCAAGGAGAAGCAAAAGAGGGAGGGTTTCGTGCGCTCCGAGTTCCTCGAGGTGGTCGAGTTCAACGAGCCGATGGAAGCTTTCTATCACGCCCTAACTTCCGAGCAGCAGTTCGACTATTTGAAGGACCCCAAGCAGTGCGCCGCGCAGTGGGGAACTCATATTGTCAAAAGCAAGAAAAAGGCAATCTCTCCAAGCGAGGGCAGCGCACAGCTACCTGTCCGCAGCACCGGCGAGTCGCTCGCGACGCAGGACCAGGAGGAAGTGCTGCGCCAGTCAATGTACAAGAGGGCTGCGGAGGTGGACAAAATGTACGAAGAGGAGGAGGCAAAGAAGGCGGGTATCACGCAGAGGTTGCGGGAGCTGAGGCTGAGTCTCGGCCCTGAAGCTGCTGCGCAGGCTACCAAGGAGGCGAGTGGGGATCGCGTGAGGAGGCGGTAGAGTTGCTACTGAGGCGAGCAGACATGCCTGCTTCGGTAACGCGTGCATTCCTGTGAGTGGATTCTCACCTGCTTCATCACACGTTGCTCTGGAATGCCATAAATCAAATCATTACCTCATCCTTCTTCTTGAGTCGCAATTTGGAGTGACTGGTCTTCTGTATCAGAGTCACATATCCGACGACAGTAGGTCCAGCTCAGGGCGTCAATGGAAATCATCACAGGCAGCATCTTTCCCCTCATCGCTACGACTGCGACTTCCGGTCTCGATCTTCGTGGCTTGAAGTACCTGTAACATCTATGCTAACATCGAGGTGCCCGATTCGTCTCGAACGCACGCACTAGCACAAGCGGCGAAGTGATCGCCGATTTGCGCTGGCCAAGAGCCACGGGTAGCACAATGGGCGAAGCAAGCGAGTGTGCCCGGGTGGTTAAGATACCGAAAGGCGTTGTTTGCGAAGTTCTCGACATTCAGGTTTGCTGATATCGTACTTCGCCCATTGTGGTAGTGTTTTCCTTGGCTTATACTATAGGCACCTAGTTAGCTCGCTGTTTGTGCAACGTGACATGGACTCGCTGGTTCGCGTCAGCCGACGCGGGTAGTAGCATTGAAGGACGCCTGCTGCGACTCGGCAGCCATTTGGCCACGGATGAGACAGTTCACCCGGGGGAAATGCCGTCGGTGCCACTCGACGTGATCCGGCCCTCCAAATCGGTACTTGGTGGGATTAACAAATGTAGTGAGCCGGCAGCTGGATGCTGGGTGTGGTGGGGCTTGGGAGTCAAAGTGAGGCTTTGGGATCTCGAGGTGCCTGCCGCCGGGTGTCACTTAATACAAACCCCACAGTCGTCTAACGATACACGCTAGCTTCACGCTATCAACCTCTCCTGTCACGCTGGTCGCGGCTTTCTGCTGATTACCGTGGGTGCTGGGCTCCACAGGCGCCGGGAATGGCTCCCGATTGGAGTTTAAGGATAGTATAACCCTTCACATGGAAGGAATTTTGCAGGTGGGTTACTATATTAGGACGGCTGATGTTTGCTTGTCCATGGGTCCTCTCGTTTCACGACTCTTAACTGGGGCCTTGCGGAAGGCGGATGGTGGGTCTCTTCTGGAATTAGCTATACAACATCCTGCTTCATCCCGTCTGCAAGAAAATGGCTCGTGGCGATACCTTTCTAGACTGGTTAACTCCAGGCTCCAAGAAGGCATTTTGTAGACAGGTGATGGATTAGGACTATTGCTGTATGCTTGTCCATAAGTCCTCTCGTTTCACGCCTCGCAACGGGGGTCATAGGCATGGCTGATGGTGGGTCTATACTGCTTCATCCAGTCCGCATGAAAACGGCTCATTATGATACTGGTCAACTCTAGGCGTTTTCTTGTTCCACGCGTTTTAACGAAATCCTTGCGGAAGACGGCAGGCGGATGGTAGGTCTCTGTCAACCTCAGCCACATAACATCTTGCTTCATCCCCGTCTGCAAGTAATGGCTTATGGTGATACCTATCTAGACTAGTTAACTCGAGGCGTCTTCGTGTTTTACACGTTTTTAACAGGGTTCTTGCGGATAGAGGATAGTGGGTCACTTCTAAACTTAGCCACAACATGTCCTACTCCATCCCGTCTGTAAGAAAATGGCTCATGGTAATACCTATCTAGACTAGTTAACTCAAGGCGTCTTCTTATTTCACACGTTTTTATTAGGGGTCTTGCGGATAGAGAATAGGAGGTCTTATCCCTTCTACATGAATATAGCTTATTATAATACCTACTCTGGCTTTAGATTAGATTTCTTACTTGTTTTAATCTCGCCTTGTTATTTTCCCCCACTTATATAGCTGTCTCCGATCCGTTCCCTTTTTAGAATATGCAGTGCCCTAGAGGCACTGGCCCCTTACGGTGCTTCCGGCCCGCATCTGTGCTTGCTGTCTCGAGCTGTCTCGAGCTGCAATGGCGGTCGGTATTACGTCTTGGTGGCTGTAGGAGGTACATGTGTGCTACGGCGTTGGGTAGCAAACAGTACTCACTAGGCTTAAGAGACGGGGATGGATGTTTCAACCTCCCGTGCCCGGGCCCGAGTACCTGTGTTGAAGTCAATCGACGACGCACAAAGCAATTAATTAGGTCGCCACATCATCACCGACGTCTTACAACGCTTCTTAAGGTCCATGTGGGTGCAATTATGCCTTTAGCTCTATATTTAGACTGTCTGGCCAAAGAAGTTTATATAACCCCTAGGCCCCATCCATTTCATGTGTCTTCACCTATCCTCCGATTTCCAACCGTGGCTGAGCATCTCCGCTACCCTGCACAATCCTCCCTCCTTTATATTTGCTGGACAAGATGCGATGACGCCTTCTTTTATATACATTACCTCCCATCATTGTATATATATTTCAAGCCCGAGCCGGAATTATCCAGATGGTCGAACACGATGCTCGCAAATCGGATTGGTTGGTTCTTTGGGCTCACAGGTCCAAGTGTGAACCTTGACTCCGCGTGCTCGAGCAGCATGATGGCCATGGATTTCGCTTGCCAGGCTCTGAGCAGTGGCGATGCCTCCATGGTATGTATCCCATTACGTCAATGACTCTCGATGTATTCTCCTTGGAAGCCAAGCTTAATATGTTGTGTAGCTCGCTGACCATCTAGGCACTCGTCGGCGGGTCAAACAACGGGCTTCCCGAAGCCAAGGTATAGTTGTCTAGGAGACTCTCGTGCCATCCGGGAGAGGTAGATCGGGCCTGCAAGACAGGACCCTAGGTCAAGAGATTGCGGTCTCTTACCTGAGGTAGAAGGTATTCCACTGTTCCATCCTGCAGAATTGCGGCTAACTTTCTACTGCGGCAAAGGGCAGTATTTACAACTTGCAGCTGCCTCTGCCTTTTGCGATAGCTCTCCTCGGTCGTCTCCTCTGCCCCCTCCAATTTCCCTATCTAACGGTCGCAGGGTTGAAGCGGAAGCGCTAAGAGACGACAAGGACGCCAAAGACGAGCCTACCGCCAAGGAAGCAACAGTACTAACAATATATGGTAGCCCGCATCTATCGTGTTCTTGCCACCATGCCCAAGAACAAATCCTCCGGTGGCAATGCCTGCGCTGCCGACAACAAACCTGGCTACCGCCCCCGCCGAACCCGTTGTTCGTGCCAACAAAATTGGAGTTCCAGCAGAAGGCCCTAACGCTGACTGGCTCCTCACGGGCGCAATAAATCCAGCTTGTGTTATTGGACGACTTGAAACCTTTTTCCAATCACTCCTCCTGGTTATTACTTCCGATGACTATGAACCGGACGAACTCGAACTGGTTCCTGTCTATACGCAGAGAAATGGAATCCTTAAAAATCCTCCTGGACGTCCATGCAAGGTTATTAAACCTGCTCCGGCAGCTCCTGTACGTCTCCTTTTTCAATTGCTCTTGTTCTGACACACGTGCTGACCTACCCGAGGCCCGCACCTCGGCTTGGAAGATTACGATGCCATCTAGGTGCAAGAAGACAACGCGCAGCAGATGGTGTAGCGAGGGTCCCGGGTGTGACGGTTGCGACTCGAGCTGCTCCCTTCCAGCTAAAAGGAAACGCAACCAAAAGCGTGGATTACCCAAGACTTCCTGGCATCTACTGCCGCAGCCCACAGGGCCTCCACTACAAACACGCCTGGTTACGAGCCTACGAGCCCGCGAGCCCGCGCTACTCTCTTTTGCACAAAGACTCCACTCCAGAAGCCACCGAAGCGAACCTTGCGCCTCCTCGACTAACCCCCAAAGCTCTTTACGAACATTTCTACCATACCGACAGCAATGGTAACTAAATCTTCCCATTTGCCAATTCTCTCCGCTGTCGTTAAGATCATATCCGAAGCATCCCAGCATCCCGGATATTAGCCATCGCCATTGGGCGCCTTCACTCGGGAGGAGATGGCTCTGTCTCTAGCGCTACTATCGAAAGTGACGCAGTAGACAGTCCTGCCTCCAACGACGTCCCTATCAATCCCACGCCCGCGTATCGCAAAAAGCGAAAGGCCAACCTCTGTCTTTGCTGGTTCTTCCACGGAACGACGAAGTACCTTCAAGTCGGAACTCCAGGGGACATCTTCCTGGTTTAGGAGCCCTTCGAAGATGTCCCACACCACTATATATCACCAACACATCACTATATATCACCAACTTTTATTATATATAACACTTGCCTGGAAATATCTGATGCAGGTCTGACCTCCACTCCGGTCTTGATGCAGACCCTTCTACCCCGAGTCCCAGACTCCCGCCGCCGCCACGCGAACCGTCTTTGGCTCTGACTCTGCCTGGCAGTGTCGAAGGCAGCGATTTCTTGTGCATCCCCTCGGTCGGCGCATCAGCTTCAGTGCAGAACCCACTACTCTCATCCATCTACGCTGAGACGCTTCGGCTTCACGTGAAGTCGTACTTCGTGGCAAGCTCGCCGCACGCTGATGTGGCGCTTGACAGGTGGTGGCTACCGGAAGGGGAGATTGCTCTGGTCAACTCCAGCATCTCGCACATGGATGAGAGATTTTGGAAGGAGACTGCCCCGCTTATCTTCGCCATGCTCGAAGTTAAGGACTGCCACGATTACAAGGGCTTCATCAAGTTCGCAGACGCTATTGCATAGTGTTACAAAATTTCATTTACCACAGCATTCTCCAAACCATTGGTACCCAAAACCACAAGAATAGCTTCAGGTTGGAACACACAATCCTCTCCAACTCACACGATGGCCCGTCAGGGCATCACCAAGACTCTCGTCCGGTCCTCCACCATCTCAGGTAGGGGAATCGTACGAAAACCTTCTCACAGGCTGGCGCAACGACGCCGGCTTTCCAAGATCCACGTGTTGATGGATAAGGTTGAGAAGGAGCTCAACATAGAGCGGACCGCGATTGCTGTAGGAAGCAGTACTTCTCGTGGCAGCAGTAGCTGGTCCGAGGAATCTGACGAAGATGAGAGTGACAACAATGGTTCTCTCGCGTCCGAGTCAGATGATGACGATGTTCGCGCTCCTGTCCTCCATGACGAGATGAGCGACGATGATACCGATCCAGATAAGGATCTGGGCGAAGTCGATACTCTTCTCGACGACTTAGAAGACAGGATGGCCGACGATCTCGGCTTCGAGAGCGACGACAGTCGTTTCGATGACGATGATCCCGAAGCTAACCTCAAATACTCCGAAGGCGGAGGCTTCGTGGAGGTTGAAGATAGCGAAGATGACTTCGCTGACTCCGAGCCTTCAGCCATTTTAAGGAGATGCTACAAGAGGATGTTCCAGAGGAGGAGATCTGGAAGCCAACGCTTCGTCTTCGGAGGAGGGGGGTGAATTACTAAGAAGAATGGTAAGTTCTCTCCACATTCCTCTCCAATTAATGACACTACGCTTGATCAATTAATTTCTTCCGATATCTGACTTGACTAAAGCTTGAACGGGTGCAGGATCACTCGTTTCGCGATCTTGTACGTACTTAGAAAATGAGTCGGGCGCGCATCATGTTTGACTCTCTCCAAATCAAGACCCCCTCCCCTAAATTCATGATTCTTGCCCCCATCATCGTGCTTCAGAGCTCCAGCGCCTTTTATAAGTGAATGTGTACATCTGGATCATTGCACATCTCATGTGTTGGTATGGTGCGTACTAACCTCTGCTTCATCATTCTCCCATCCAGTCCCTTCAATTCTTACGTCCATCTTAGATCCCTCCATCCAAGGTAGTATATTCACTTCCATTCCTCCGCACTCACATTGTGTACTCACTACGCTTGATTGAACAGCTTCATCCTTTCATGGGAAAGTATGCGATTCTCGGGCATAGTAATTGCGTCCATCTAGGAGTCGTCGAGTGCAAATATTCTCCAGTATTCAATCTATCAAAGAAAGGGGATGTCCAACGCCTAGATCATGCCAAAAAAAAATCTTAGTGTCGGGGACCTGCGTCTAAACTTCTAGCCGACAAGAATTCATCCTCTATCCCCAGCGCGCCCACCTCACATGGAAAGAGATAATTGCCAAACGCCAATTTCAAAGCAAAACTTTGCTCCATTTACACCACAAAACGTTCGAAGCTACATCTCCTTAGTCATCCTGGTCATCCGTCTCGCCTCTCGCAAATCCCTTAGCCTCCGTATACCACGCCATAGCCAACACACGACACTTCCTCGCATCCGCGTTCGCTGTCGACGCAAAGCTCTTCGCCTGATTCTGTTGCTCAAGCGCCGTCTTAATCGTCTGCTCGCACTTCTCAACCCACAGCTTCGAGGCCGTTGGCCTAACTAACCGACATCGTATGCTCCTTGGCCTCGCCGAGCAGCTCAATCGCCTGTTCGAAGCTATTGTGGGCCAAGAGGAAGTTTGCGAATGCCTCGGTTGAGAGTATCGAAGCCTTGGGGCATGCTTCTGAAATCTCAGTAGCGCGGGCGGCTGGAGTTGAGGATTGATGAACGTCTGGGTGTCTGGGGTAGTCGGCGGGGATGCAGTCGTTCGCATCGTTGGAGCTTTGAGCTCCAAGTTGGAGTTCCCTCTGGGCCTTGGCATAAACGATATTTGCCTAGACCCAGATCTTACGGGCTTCTTTGGGGATCGGCCGTCTAGCCAATCTCAAGGCCTTCCTCGGTGAGCCCATCCGGACCGGTCAAGCGAAGAGTGGGAACTGAACGGGTCAAGATGGATCCTTCCTTGACAGCGAAGCCCGTGTCACATCGAGCTCTAGCTTTGGCAATAGGTACTCCAAGAGAAGACGAATCCAATTTGTCCACCTTCCGCATCTTGCGATCAAGCTCGGCGCGTGTCGTGGTGTTGCTGATGATTTTGCACGCCTCTTGGACCCACTTGAATTTCTCGTAGGCTGTTTTGCCGATTAAAGAAGGGAGCGGCTGTGGGAGCTGTTGCGCTGGTGGTGGTGGTGAAGAGCCGAACAAGTGGATGAATACAGAGCGCATGAGCTTTGGAAATTTATGTAGACTGACTGCGAGGCATGTATGTGAATTGCGATGAGAGAAAGTTACTTTCTGACGTGTGAATCCGAAGAAAATAAGGAGGGAGGCAGGAAGTATTAAAAAACAAGATGTGCCTTTAAGTGAATTTCTAGTTGATTGATTGATTACCAAAATATCTAGTAACCAGTAGGAGGCACTCTATGAAGGTCATCCTGAAGAGCCAGGGAAGTCAATACGCGTAAGATCATCCCAGAACGCCCGCGAAACCTGTATGTGTAAAGTCATTTCAAAACCCCAGCGAAACCATTCTATGTGAGTGCGGACCGAAGCCCCATACGCGAGGAAATCAAAGACGGTACTCAAGGCAATGTAATCGAAAGCCTTACTTAGCCGAGACGAAAGACATCGAAAACTGGGTCCAATCCCCGGCTACCTTCCTGATCGCCCTTCTCGAGAATATGGGCCTCGGTAAACCACGCCATTGCAAAAAAGTGGAACTTCCTCGATTCATTGTTTGATGTTTCGACGTAGTTCTTGGCCTCGGTATGGTGATTGTTGAGAGCAATGATCATCTCCTTGTACTCGCCGAGTTGGGTAGCCAAAATTGGCACTGAGAGCATAGCCTCCTTCGCGTCTTCCGAAAGCTTCAATGCTTCTTCAAACCCGGACTTCGCCAGACGGAATTCGATGCAAGCCTCTGTGGATAGCTTTGAAGCCTTGTGGTAGGCCTCGGAGATTTCCTTAGCACGGTCGGCAGTGGGCTTGACGGAGTGAATGTCTGGATGGCCCGGGTGGTCCGTTGGGACGAGATCGTTGGCCTCCTTCAGGCGCTCGACGCCGATGCTAAGCTTGCTCCGGGCTTTGTCGTAGACTTTCTTAGCTGTTTCCCAGGTTTCAGGGGCTCCGCCCTGGTCAGCTGATGGATGAGAGGCGGGTCCAGCGTTGTAGCTCGAAGTGGCATTGGAAGCGGACCGCGTATTGTAAGCAGGTCCATTTTGCAAAGCAGGTCGAACATCGGAAGCCTTGGGATCAGATTCCATGTTCTCAGCACGTCGGATACGACGATCGAGTTCGGCGCGCGTGGAGTCATTAGAAAGAATCTTCCAAGCATCTTGCACCCGCTTGAACTTTTCGTGCGCCGCCGCGCAGAGGTCGGGATTCCGCGTGTTCGTGTAGAACTCCATGCAGAGTCCATGGTGAGCCTTCTTCATCGTGTCGTAGTCCGCATGCTGGGGAACGCCGAGAACGGTGTATGGGTCAGACATAGTGACGGAAGGTGCGTTGGGAGAAGTGTTGGAGGAAGGACGAAGTTGAGTAGGGAACTCTGGTGATGGTAGGTGGTGGGTAGTGGTGGCTGTGTCAGGGGGAGTGGTTGGTTGATAGAAATGAATATAGAAAACGGGAACATCGAAGGTTTATATAGAAGACATATTGCATATTCAGTGAATCTGTGAGAGAGAAAGTATAGTGTAAGGACAATGAGACAACGCGTGTGTCATAGTGAATTTCCAATTTCTTGACTGATTACCAGATTGTCCAGTAACAAGCCAGAGTTATTGCATGAAGCTCACCTCGGAACACCGGTCAGGCCAATTCGTGTAAGGTCAGCTTGAAAGGCCAGCAAATCTCTTCGCCAACGATGGAGGAAGTCATGTTGGGGGAAGTGTGGTGGTGGTTTTGGGTGTGGCGGTTCCGGCGTTGGAGGAAATGAGCGACGATGATGAGTCTAAAGAGTTTGAGCTACGAACGAAGGATTTATGTAAACCCCAGATTTGAGGCTTGCAAAGAGAACTGCCAGGAAAGGAAGGAAATCTTTATATCATGAATACGAAGAATTGGAGCAAGGGGTAAGCATGAGAAGACAGTAAGTATTTTCAAATAAGTTATATAGATGTGAAACTGATTACCAGAGTTTCTGATAACTAGCAAAGTCAGTCTATGTAGTAGTATGGAAGAAAGTGATGTCCACCGCCCAGATCAAGTCCTTAGTCAACCGAGCCCATGGATCAGGACCTCTATCCAAACATCTACAAGCCAGAAGGGCCATGCTATATGAGTTTTCGGCCGACCACCCAGCTTAGGTGAAGGAGACGGCGCCTCTATGCCGCTATCGTGAGTAAGAGCGTGACTCAAAGAGAAGGATGATCGAGCCTATAGCTTCTGGTCATCCTGGTCGGTATTCTCACTCTTCGCAAGAACTTGTGCCTCAGCATACCACGCCATGGCCAGCACGTGGAACTTCCTAGCTTCTGCGCTCGCTGGCAACACGCATATCTTGGCCTGAGTGTGCAGGTTCGTTGCTGATATGATTGTGCGCTTGCACTTTTCAGCATGGATCATTGGAATGTGCTCCGTAGCCTCACGAAAAAGCTTATTTGCCTGTTCGAAGCCTTTCAGGGCATTGCGGAAATGTGCGGATGCGTCGGTCGACACTGTTGAAGCCTTCTTGTGAAGTTCTGCGATTTCCATGGCGCGTGCGACCGTGGGATTCGAAGAGTGATGACCTGGGTGCCCGGCAAAGTCGGTCGGGATGTACTCCTTCACATCGGTGAAGTGCTGGTCCCAAGTTTGAGGTCCTCCTGAGCCTTAGCGTAGATAACATTGGCTCGCTTCCAAACCTTAATAGCTTCGTTAGCGGTCATGCCAGGGGTTTTAGCCGTCTCGCGGGTCTCAGGGGCTTCATTTGTGATCCCGTCGGGGCCGGTCACATAGATTCTGAGAATAGGCTGGTCAGGCATCCTGGAAGTGGAGATTTGGAAAGCGGAGGAAGAGAACTGTTGGAAAGGCAGAACAGGGAACCGTGTTGGATGTGAAGAACCGAAGCTGCGGATGAACATAGAGAGCGTGAAATTTGAAAGATGTATATAGACCGACTTTGAGGCTTGCAAAAGAAATTGTGGGAAGAGAAAGTGACTTTCCGACATTGTGAAGGTACATAGTTCTCCAGATGCACTCATGTTGCGGCACAAAGAGTACAAATGAATCGTACCAGTGTATTATGAATTCTCTGTTCTCTTCAACTAACGTATTCCACCACCGAGCCGGCCAAACCACCGAGCCGGCCACTTTTCCTTGGCACAACCAACACCATGTGCGCGCAGTCAATTTATTCGCAACCAGCTATAGAACTTGTGTACGACACACTTAGATCAGATTCAGAAGAAGCTTCTTGATCCTTTTTGCACGTACGCGCATTGTGCCCAGCCTCTCCACAGTTTCCACAGCGCCGTTGAGCTGGTAGAGCCCTATTTGCACCATCTCTACTACCCACCTTTTTCCGTGGATTAGATGCTCCAGACACTTTAGCAGCTACGTACAACGCTGCTGTACCATACTCCATTGTACCGCCAGTCTGGATTCGCTTTCTTTTACGACCTTTATGCTTGGTTATCTCTGCTAGTTGCTCTTCAAGCTCTTTAACCCGGGCTTTGATAAGCACATTTTCGTGTAGCATCTCTTCGGCTCCTTTAATAAGCTTTGAGAAGCCTTTTTAGGCGGTTGTTGGTGACCGTACGAAGGAATTGCTTACTAGCCTTAACTGTAATCCAAATTCGTACGTATTGCTTAGGGTCTTTAATTGCCATGGTGTTTCTAGTAGGGGTGCTAGTAGTAGGGTCCGTAACCGTATATTAAGGCGATCAAGAACTACCTGCGCGTTGATAGGAACTAATCCAGAGGCCTCAAAGGCCTTCTTGCAGTTCTTGTACGTAAACACGTCGAAAAACGCGTCTTTAAAGGCTGGTAGGAAGCCTTCTTTATTAATATAGTAGACGCGTCGGCGTGCCAAGTCTTGTATGCGTTGAGAGTACTTCAGCTTTAATAGCGAGAAGCACACCACATCAAGTGGCTGAAGTATATGCAATAAATGCGCAGGCATACAGAGGGTAAGGATTTGTTGTTCAACGCAATAATCCTTAAAATCTTGGTTGAGGTGGCTCTCATGGCCGTCCAAAATCAGCAACCTGTATAACCCCACCTGACGCGCCTTTGTATACGTGTCAAAGTGCTTTAACCACTTAAGACCAAGCTTGTTATTGGTCCAGCCGTTCTTAGAGACAGAGAGCTTCCAATTATACAGTATCTCTGCTTCCTTATACCATGCAGAGATATAAACGCGTCCTTTATAGATAATAAATAGTAGGGTTGCATATCCGGCAGCGCAGATGCTCTGGATAACCGTAACCCACTCTCGGTCGCCTGGTTAAATAAGATTAGGCCTTATACGTCTCTCTGAACCTGTAACAACCTTTATTGTGCCAATTATACCCATTTAAAAGCCAGTCTCGTCGAAGTTGTGGATGTCATCTGGGTGGACGCCATACTTGGCTATAGTCTCTTGCACGAGAGTAAACCACGTGTTGATAACCTCTGGGTCTTCCTGGAGTATCCTCTGGCGGTCCTTTGCCCGATTAAAAGCCATTTTAAGCTCCTTTGTACAAGATATAAACCGTTAAGTCCAGTTCTTGCCCACTGGTGTCCCACCACGCGCAGCCAGTACTTTATCTGCTATATCTGCCACCTCACACAACCGGGGCGCAAATCCTCGCGAGTCTAGGTCAAGGATATATTGTATAATCGTGTGCTCTTCGGTCGCAGTGAGCTTTAGGCAGTTTGGTCGTGATTAAGGTTGAAACGTGATTCCGTGGAGCCGATTAGAGAGCCGCTGATGTCGTACGTTAAAGGCTGCTGCAGCGCGTTGTATGGTCCTAAATTGACCAGAGGTAAAGGCTTAAAGCGCGAGATCAATACTGCCTTCTTGCTAAGATAGATAATCGCTGCGTTGTTGATGCATTGCTGTGTGAATGTGGTGTTGGTTGTGCCAAGGAAAAGTGGCCGGCTCGGTGGTTTGGCCGGCTCGGTGGTGGAATACGTTATATCTTTTAGTGTGCGACCTGGTGGGGCCGGCCCATAGTAATTTACGGCTAAGGGCTTTTCTCAGGGAACGATGGCCAATATATGCAGAGAAAGAAAGCTTACACCATCTGAAAAGGGCTCGGCTGATATTCTCATACATACATTTGTCGTTAACATGGTTTGTCTAAAATGTTTCAAGTTTGCCGCTAGTAGACCCCAAGTTAGGTATGAAAGAACAAACATGTGTTCACCTTGACGTTAAAGTATAGTGTGTGATTTTCGAAACACCTAGTGACTAGGGAGGCCATTCTTTGTAGAGATGCAAACGGGGTGATAACGAGAATTCGTGCTCGACCCAACCCCAACGTCGATATCATGTGAAGCTATTTCATGTAAGAGTGTTCTTGAGCGTCGAAGACATAAGAAAAGATATAGCCAGAGCCGAGATCATGTCAACCCGTTCTATTCTTGACTAATGCCGAATTTGCTATAGAGAATGGGAATGGTGTAGTAGCCTTGTGACAAGAGTAGAAATGTGCCTTCGGGTTTAATATGAAGCGCTGCGCCCACCAAGGCTGATCACCCTCTTCTAGCTTTTCTCTTAGAGCCTGAGCACTCAATCCACCCAGTCCACATTGATATCGATATCTTCACCATCCACACTCTCCTTTCCGCTTCTGACGAGTTCCTCTCCCATCGCTGCCTGGAGCTTCTCTGTGAACTTCATCTCGCCTGGCACTTCGTAGTCCAAGTCGCGACCGCAGAAGATCATGGCCATGAAACCCTTTTTAGCCTCCTTAGCGATTGCCGAATCCGCGTTGTGGCTGAGATCCTGAAGGCGCCGTCTCCAGAACAGCCATCGGTTCATGCTGAAGCCCTGCTCTTCGACGCCGGCTCGTCGCGCTAGTGCTCCAGGCGCCAGCAAGTGAGGTTTGGAATGTGTCCCGTAGGACTGGTCGGTGGCCGAGAAGGCGAGAAGCGTGTGGCGGCAATTCTCGATCCAGACAACAGCCGCGGGGAGTAGAGCGAAAGCCTTTGCTTCGTCGTCCGTCTCGAGGGCTTCGCGCAGATACCATAGTGCTGTCACGGCGATTTCATCTCGGTAGATGCCGACCGTCAGGACCTTAGCTGAAAACTCAGCAAGGTTGCACTGTTTCGAGGCAGTGCCAGCCGTCAGCAGCTGATTCCATAGTGCTTGCAAGCTGTCGGCAAAGCCATATTTCTCCCAGGAGGTTGTGACAGTCTTCGTGGAATGGAGGCTCCGGTGAAGCGAATCGAACTCTTTCGTCCATAGCAGCAACGAAATGAGCTTGTCTTGAATGGCGTCGTCCTTTTCGAGCGCCTTGGCTGCCTCACGGAACATATGCCAAAGGACATCAAGCCCTTGCTGCACAGCCTCGGAATCAGCTGGCGGTCGACGCGAGGCATCTTTAATGAAGTGAAAGCTGAAGCTTTGGATGGAGATCAACAAGCCTAACTTATCCTCTTCACTAGAGGCTTCTATAACGTCGACATCGAATGCCTCTCGGACTTCATGCCTGAAGCGTGCGTCATGGTCAGATTGCGACGGCGTCTCTGATGATGCCATTGCAAATACAAAGGATTGTCGATCAGGAAGACACTACAAGAGGATAGCCTGCAGTGATGTCGAAAATGTCTTTTGGAGGGCAGATTAGGTAGTTCCGAGAACAGATAGTAGACACTTGGATAACCGCCGCATTTAGGCAACCTTTCTAGGCGGCACTAAAAGACCGCGGGAGTCCCATGCTATAGCCAACCCTGTCCATGCTTGCTGGTATTCAATTTAAAACCTTGATCGAGTCTGATGTCGGCCTTGCCACCGAGTAAACGAGTGGTGTCAGCCTTGTCACCGAGTAAACGAGTGGTGTCAGCCTCGTCGCGGGGCGAACGGGTGATATCAGCCTAGCTACCGAGTAAACGAGTGGTTTCCTGTCAGCCTTGCCGCCTAGTCAAACAGGGATGTGGATCAAACTCTGGCCCATGTTATTGTACAATGATATCAGATACTGGGGCTGCGGGAAAGGGATGTAGATAACTGGTAACAACGATGATAAGGGGAGATTATTAGTCCTAGAAAATAGGTGATCTAGACATCCGCCGTTACATAACCCCACTTCTAGCCAAGGTGTACTGCCTCTAAGGGTAGGATAGTAAACTAAATCTGACAGCTAACATGGCGGTACCGGTGCCTGAGCCTCATCATTGGTCATAACCTCGGGCGGCGAGTACATTTTGGTGGTCAGCGTATTAATTAGGCCAATACCCTCGGCACGAGTAAACTTCATGATGGAAATGTGCAGGTGAAGAGTTGAGTAACTTAGATATTCTAAATTCTGTATTTTGAGTTTGTGCCTAGTTACTAGGGAGGTCAATTTTGGGAGAGTGATTCGAGGTATGCGAGTATACCGATGAGTCCGAACGCCGAGACTGTCTAAAAGCGTTGCTTAGAAACATGAACTGTTAGCGAAAGAGAGGAGGGCCGGGTTGCCCAATTTCCTACAGGCTACCGAGTTTTGGTCGCTTATTGGTAAGATGCCTTCGCTGGAAGAGAAAGACCTTCATCGTTGCCAAATTTCTCCTTCATTTTGAGCCTAGAAGCTTCGGAAAGCCACTCCATCGCAAGCCGATGAGACTGCTTGGAGTCCTCGAACATCTTCCAAGACTGCTTCCTCGCTTCCAAATCTCGCTTCTTCGATATCCTTTCCAGTTTTTCGCACTCTTGGTGCATCGTAGTCGGCAGTGGTGGATTTGTATCCGACATGAGCTCGTCCGCCTTCTCGAACCACATGGCTGCATCTTTGAAACCATTTGCTGCTGCCTGCAAGTGTCGAAACGCCTCGGTTATGAGTTTCGACGCTTCCTGATAGGCCTCGTATATTTCCTGGGCGCGAGCAGCTGTCAAGGAGGCGTCTTGTCGATGGATGTCTGGATAGTCTTTGAAGTCGGTAGGGTAAAGACCCATCGCGTTCTCATGCTCAAACCAGCCCTCGACATTATTAGTCCATGCGTCATCATAGATACTCTTTGCCCAATCAAATGCCCGGGTAGCCTGCTGAGCGAAGGGGTTCGGTCGGTCAGGTCTCGGAGTCCGAGGAGTGGGCTTAGAGGTATTGAAAGATGAAGGTGCCGCAGAGCCAGGGGGCCTATTAAACTGCCGTCCAAGACGCCGGTCCAAATCGGCACGCTTGGGTACATCGCTCAGGGTCTCGTAAGCGTTTTGGATCTCCTTGAACTTCTCCTGTCCGACTTCCCGTTGAGCGGGATCTGAGATTCTATCCGGATGGTATTGTAAGCATAGCTCGCGGTAGGCCTTCTTGATTCTTTTTATATCTGCGTCAGTCGGTACGTTGAGGGTGGCGTAGGGAGACATGTTGAAGTCCATGAAGAAGGAACTCGAGCCTGGGCAGCATTTAAGACTATATAGGCCTTAATTTTGACTATGAGAGAAAGCAGTATTGTGAAAGTAGCATTGTGCGAGAACCTATCACTCACCAACATTGAATTCTTAGAATGTACAAGTTTGGTGAATGTTCGTTCAGTGTTTACTTAGCATCCTCGACACTTGAGTTGCCAAGAGCCTAGCAATGAAATTCGAGAGGTAGAGGCAGGATGTGGCTGAAGAGCTGCTTCTTTGCAACGGTCTTGGACCCGTGTTTCAATTATTATCACGTTTTAAGAAGACTAAAAAAGGGAGTTGCATGGGGTTGGAGAACCATGTGTCTTCATTGGGGTTATCTAGGGATATGACTGATTATCAGAGTTTCTGATAACCAGGGCTGCTACGTGATGGCAGTCAAGACTCGACAGTCTCAGCGGGAAGACAAGATAGTCACAGATGATCGCGGTCATGTGGTGATTATGATCAAAGGATGCAGAAGAGGTTCTTGGGCTGTTCATCACCTGGCTATGGTGTTTCCAAGGGTTCCTTCTGGGCTTCCTTGAAAAACTCCTGGCGTTGGAGCTTGAGAACCATGTGCCTCCAACCGGTAGCGAGGTCAGAGAGGCACATATGCTCCATTTTTGCTTTCTCCCAGAGCTTTGTGAGCTCTACCTTCCGTTTGTGTGCTTCTTCATTCCGCTTTCTGTATTCTTCGAATTGCGTTAGATTACCTGTATTCGCGAGTAAGATCTGGGCCTCTTCGAAAAGACGGCTTGCGTTATTGAACTCATGACTCGACTTACGAAATCTATCAGATGCTGCCCCAACCAAAGATGATGCTTTACTGTACGCTTTCGTGACCTGGGCGGCTTTCTCTGCATTCAATTAGAGTCTTTGTAGTAATGGATCGGGAAGTTGGGATAATCCGACGGGCATAGGTTGATCGCCTCTCGGACTCGGGTTGTAACAGCTACAACCTAGGATCAACAACTCATACGGTTCACGGTCACCTACGTACAGGCACTCCCCCCTTTTTCTCTCTCCTTAATTCTCGTTCTTTGGTTGGTTGCTACTAGCGCGCACTCAGCGTGGCGAGGTCCTCTGTTCAGCTACACCAGGGTCCTCTCAGCTGGGTTCCTTTCAGCTGGTCTCTATTCAGCTGAACTGATAGACCTAAGGGGTGGGCCATTTCCTATTAGTATATATACAACTAGATAGACGTCTATAGAAATCAGAGTTCACATCAATTTCAACCTGAGTTGTTCGGAGCAAGCCAGCAGCCAGCACAGACGCCACCGGCGCCTAGGATTGAGTTTCTAGAGGTGCTTGAGAACATAGATGGGGAAAGGACTGCAGCTCCTTGGGCTTCGGTGTGGACTATCAGGTCTGTTGAGAAGGTGAACGCATGGCTGGCGCAGATGGATATTGATACTCTAGAGTATCTCCAGCGCCCAGAACACGATCCTCCTCAATCGAAGTAAATGACTTGATATAGCCAAGCCTTGATACATCGTAGTTACGAACGGTGTCTAACACCATTCTCACCGTTCACATACCACCACCGACAGATGACCCATGACCTCGAACGCTCTTAGTTTAGGTAGTGATACCAAACTCACACAATCAATTCTTTCCTACCAAACATTACGATTGCCTCTTCTTTGCGTACTTTGATAACGTCTTGAACACTGACTCGCTTGTTTTCTTGCTATCAACCAGCCCTCTGAGCACTTCTCATATATCGGCTAGCCACTATGCAGCTAGATTCACCTGCCAGATATACGATTATGTTCGCGAGGAAATATATTTACTACGGGCTCCTTGGGCCGGTGCCAGTGAATGCTTAACACGCATTCCGTTCACCCATCGCACTGTTTATGGAAATATAAGACGTGCTCTATATCGATGTCTCTCCTGAATCCACCCTCAGCTCCTACATCAAACCCACTTTAACGTCTACAACCACCGCAAGGGCCACACCCATTTCAACAACCACACCTTCTCAAAGACCGGCACCGCCTCCCAGACGAGCACTTCCAACCCAGATCGCCGCTTTCTTTAGTCCAGTACTTCTTTTAAATCTCTTCTTTCCAAGATGTCCCCGACTTCCAGACTCGAGGCCGCCGGCATGGACACTCGCCTCTTCCAGAATATCACCACTAGACCACCCCCATCCGAAACGACCACAGTCATGGACGTACGAATAGCAGAACACTACCAGCAAGCTTTCCTCCAAGCCCAGCGCAAGCTCGTTGATGGGTGGCAACTGCTCCAGTGGACCGATATCATAGAGGTATGGGACGACCTCTGCAAAGTGGCTCAGCCCAAACGGGATCATTCTTTCGAAGTGCTCTCCAATGCCGCCAACGGGTATACAATGACCTAGCATGGACGGAAGACCGATCCAGAGCAGGATTCATCGGCGTAATCTGTCGCTTACCCAGCAGCCGCGGAGACCACCTTCTCCGCTAACCTTTGGCTTTCCAGATCAAGACGATGCGGACTTGGCGAACTTTTGGTCCGGAGATATGGAGTCTAGGAGAAGCCGCCGAGACCTGTGTCTCACCCAGGAGGCCATAGATAAGGCTAAGGCGAAAGTATCTAAGTGGCTCTTCCAACTCCCATAGCTGATTGCTCCCAAGGTTCTACTGAAAGGTTGGACTCAGAACTCAATTCGAGGGTGCAGATGGAGAAACTGACAATTCTGCTGGAGGTATCGATCCCCGAAGAGCATATATTGATCACTTCTCTTCTTTGTACATGTGGAAAGAAATCTTCGGCGGTCTTCCCTGAGTGCACTGGGGCCCGTGAAGCAATTATGTTTCAACATATATTGGGTCTAGATCAATAAACACGCAACCAAACAACAAAGCAAGTCAAGTGTTTACAGTACTAGGATATAAGCTTGTGCACTCTCTCTTGCTGTCGGCATTTAGCTAACTTGTAGACTTTTAAAGGCTAGGTCAATCGAAAACGAACGGTGTAAAAGGTAGAGTAAATCATCAATACTAAAGCTTACATACATTGAATAAAGTTTCTCCAATCCGTGTTCATCAACTCCACCTCATTGTTAAGTACTTAAATTTACCACAAGTGCCACAATGCTTCATAGTGTACTCTGAGTGCGCATTGTAGCCGCACAATGTGCCGATTCCGCAAATATATAGTCAGCGTATTCTACAACCACTCCTCATCAAACCAACCTTCGATATGCCATTCCAGAAAACCCAAAGTTCAGAAGATACCATGTCTCTACGCTCACGCCCCAACACGCCCACGAACGTTAACGGCGCGAAATATCTCGAAGGATGTCGCGCAGCCGACCATCTAAACTTGACTTACGAGTGGATAGTGCTCTCCCAAGATCCGGATATGAAGGAGATCTGGGCAGATCTTTATGCCGTGGCACAGCCAAAGTGGGATACCTCTTTCGAGGAACTCTTCCACTTCATTCATGCGCCTGAAACGACAGCTAACGACCACATCAGGACCCGAATCCGGCAACTGAATGCGTGGCGGTCCCAAGAGCCACGCGCTCCCTTCCCACCACAACATACCCTTGGACCCTGGATTTCGCCTGAAGAAGATCCGGATTGGACGGAGTTCTGCGCTGGTCCCATGGAGGGTGATCCAAACGAAGCGCTCCCAGATCTGGCAAGGCAGCTTGTGGGCAGGATTGGCGTCCTCAAATGGCTACAGAAGCTGGAGGCTGACCCACCGGAGGAGTATCTGATTGCCCCCACGGTCGTTCCAAGAGTTCTGCAGCGGGCGACGGGCGAAGGCTCTCCTCGTTTGAGGATAGGCTCTCCTACACCGCGTTCTCCATTCGAACCCATGGGTAGCTGGTCAAGATTACCGCTACCTAAGAGACCTTGATACTACCAATCGAGCCTAGGTAATCGTACCTGGTTCGAATACCTGAAGAATCAATTCTTAACCCCTAGAATACCTTCCCTTCTCGAATAAGTGACCCGTATGTGATTACCGAAAATCAAACTCGCTGAACTCTGTTTCCAACATTCCATTTGCGAGTGTAAGTCTTAATCATTCCTTTGCTTGAATTGCTAGTTCATTGTGAAGTAACACGACGAAAATCGCGTATCGACAACGATTTTTGATGGACACCGTGTAAACGTCATATCTTCACAATGATCCATCTCGTTGATGTGAAAGCATCTGAGGCTGTGTATATCAGGATGTTATTCCACGCCTAAAGACACTCAATTCCAAGATCTAACGTCCGTCCCTGGGTCACGGAAAACCCACTGTGCCGGAAAATATGAGGGGTACATTAACTTCAAACAGCTCAGACTCTGTGCACACATCGAGATTTCCCACAATTCTATATAAATAGTGTACTGTAGCCACTTCTGAACGTTTAGAACACCTCCTACCTAAAAATTACATTCGCGTTGTTGCTTTCGCGCCTGATTTGCGGAGAGCCTTCTTTTATAGCGTAACCAAATTCCGTCGCCACAGCACCTCTATCGAGCTCCTATTACTTTTAATGCTTATAAAAGGGCCTTATCCAAGCCTTAGAACCTTGCTACCATACTGGGAAGTTGTTATTAGCCTTATAGCTGCTTTCGCACGCAAATTCATACAAGATCGCCACCCTAGTCGGTACTTCCGGTCGGAAGCAATTACTAATCCAGCTAGGACAAAACGACCCCGCAAGTCTGACATAAGCATCGTGGTGTAATTTACTTATGTCATCTAGCAAGCCAAGCTTATGGCTGTGAACGTGTGGCTAATCGGGGCCTTAGTACCCCACCTTATGTATCCAGGCAAGATCAGCTTGGCCACGTGATCTATCACGCTACTTCCTTACCACAGCTTGAGCTGACAAGGGTGTGGCCGGAGCGGGCCGCCCGCCCTCCCTGCTAGCCTGCCCGTTTGCTTCGGCACCAGCCACAGCACGCACTTCCACAGGGCCACCGGCTCTAACACTCCCGGCTATTAAGCTCTTTTTCTTTCGCACTAGTAACAGCAATATACTTTAAGTGAGCTTCAGCTTCAGCGTCGGCGATTATTTCACTTGGTTTGAGTTTGATTGGTCCAATTAAAGCCACAAATGTAAGCTGACGTGGCACTTGTAGCTTCAGCTGTGCCGCAGCCCAGCCGCAATTGCAAACCTCTCCAGATTTCAGCCTAGAAAAGGCTGAAATCTGCTGCGATATCTCCACTTCGTTTCACTTCCCTTCTCCTTCCCACCATTCTCGCATTTCATTTTCTACAACGCCATCCAGATCTCTTGTTCTTTGCGAGATCTCAAGCGCTTCATTCTATTCCAAACAGGCTGAGGTTACGGGACTTCGTCGGAGTACAATTGCGACCAGATTTGAATTCGTCCCCTTAAAAAACCTCAAGACCTCGTCTCTTTGCCTGTCTCCATCGAACCCTGCCCGGGAGAATGTCGAGTACTAAGGACTACACCGTCGGCTGGATCTGCGCTATAGCTACGGAGTATGTTGCCGCTCAAGCTTTCCTCGACGCAAAACACGAAAGACCAGAATATTTGCCCCCACATGACAACAACGATTATACACTAGGCGAGATTGGGAAACACTATGTTGTCGTTGCCGTCTTGCCTGAGGGAGAATACGGCATTTCGTCTGCAGCAAGCGTCGCGAGAGACATGCTCCATAGCTTCCCCAATGTCCGAATTGGGCTAATGGTCGGCATCGGCGGTGGTGCGCCAAGTCCAGAGCATGATATCCGTCTAGGCGACATCGTGGTCAGCGCTCCTCGTGATGGGAAGGGTGGTGTGCTTCAGTATGACTATGGCAAAACAATCCAAAATCAGAGCTTTCAATGTACCGGATTTTTAAACCAGCCACCAACGCTCCTACGGACTGCAGTTACTGGAATTAAGGCGCAGTATGAAAGCGACGGCCATACGCTTGAAGAAGCTATTGAAAGTGTTCTCGAGAAGAAACCAAGACTGCGGAAGAAGTACCAGCGCCCGGGCTCAAGTAGCGATAGGCTGTATCAAGCCGGAGTCACACATTCTACAAACGATGAGGCAAACTGTGCACTAGCCTGTAGTGACAACACGTCGGACTTGATACTGCGACACGAACGGGCCGAAAACGAGGATAATCCGGCAATTTACTACGGTCTAATTGCTTCAGCAAACCAATTGATGAAGGATGCTTTGCTTCGGGATAAATTTGCAAAGGAAAACGACGTTCTGTGTTTTGAGATGGAAGCAGCTGGATTAATGAACCACTTCCCGTGTCTAGTCATTCGCGGCATCTGCGACTACTCTGACACGCATAAGAACAAGGAATGGCAAGGCTATGCAGCTATGGCGGCGGCAGCGTATGCGAAAGACCTCCTGGTCCGCATTCCAGTAAACAAATTGGAGGCTCAGAGAAGAATCAGCGATGTTCTGTCTTCTAGTTAGTTCCCTTAGCAATATCAAGAAGTAACCCGGTTAATAGAAGAGTAGTTGAGCGAAATGTGTACGAGGCACATCGTGATGTTAAAGACTTAGCACTCGAACAGCGGCGGGCAGAGCTCCATCGCTGGCTGTCGCCACCTGAACCGTCAACAAACTACAACAAAGCACTTCAACGGCGCCAAGAAGGCACAGGCTCCTGGTTTTCGCAGAGTAACGCATTCGCAACGTGGAAATCGCAAAGAAACTCCTTCCTGTGGCTTTATGGCATACCGGGATGCGGCAAGACCATCCTCAGCTCTACTATTATTGAACATCTCAAGAGTCTTTCCATTCAATCCCTGCTCTACTTCTACTTCGATTTCACTGATACCGAGAAGCAATCTCTTAGAGGTGTTGTCTGCTCTCTTATTAGTCAACTTTACCACACGTGCAAGAGTGCCCAGGAACCATTAGATGCGCTCTTTTCCTCATTTAGGGACAGAAATACGCAACCAAGCTGCGAATCACTTTGCAAGGTTCTGCAGAAAATGATTAAGCGAACCGAAGAGGTCTGGGTTGTTCTGGATGCCATCGACGAATGCCTTGAATGCAAAGGGAGTCCAACAGAAGGGCTGCTTTTGTGGATACGGGATCTTGTAAGGTTGCAGCATAAGAACGTTCACTGTCTCGTGATAAGTCGGCCCGAGCAGGATATTCAGTTAGAATTAAGCCGCCTGGTTAATAAGAAGGATAGAATTTCAATTCAGAGCGATCTTGTTAATGACGATATCTTGGCATATATTAACGCTAAGGTTAGGGAGGGTGAAGGACTAAAGAGATGGCGGGGTTGTCAGGATATTCAAAAAGAGATTAAGGAAGGGCTCGCACAAAAGGCCGACGGCATGTAAGTAGAATCTCTACTTGTTTGCATCTGCACTATCTACGCCGGTACTAACGCTAAATAGGTTTCGATGGGTAGCATGCCAGATTGATGCCCTAGAGGACTGCTTGGACTACCCTACCCTTAGGACTGCGCTTAATTCACTCCCAAAAACGCTGGACGAGACCTACAAAAGAATAATAGTTGCGATTCCAGACAACTACAAAGAGAACGCGTTGAGGATCCTTTAATTGTTAACATTTTCCGAACGACCATTAAGGATCGAGGAAGCTGTCGACGCAATAGCGGTTAACATTGACGAGAGTCCACATTTCTCTGCCAAGAATCGAATGCCCGAACCCCTAGAAATTACGCGTTACTGCTTGAGCTTGGTGGTTATGGTCTCGGCTAAAGGGCATCTAGGCAAGAACGACGACAGACACGTGGAGCTCTAACTAGCACACTTTTCAGTTAAGGAATATCTGACATCGAATCGGCTGGATGGCGGTACCGCGCAAGACTTCCGAGAGTCTGCTGCTAGAGCATCCGTCGCTAGAGTATGCCTCGCGTACTTGCTGCATTTCGACCAGGTTCTTCCGCTAGAAGAGGTATTAAAAGGCTTTCCATTTGCGCAATATTCCGCAATATTCTGGATAAGTTATGCCCACGCAGCAGGATGCGAGACAAGTGAACTCATGGATTTAATTCAGAGGTTCTTCTGCTACCGGGATAGCTTATATAGTATTTGCTACAGCCTCTACCGCCCCGACGAGCCATGGAACCATACGCCACGTTCCAACCGAGATACGCCAGCTTCAGCATTATACTACGCAGCATTTGGAGGTTTACAAGGGGCGATTGTGAGGATGCTACTCGATAAAGGCGCCGACGTCAACGCTAAGGGTGGATACTACGGCAACGCGCTCCAGGCGGCTTCATATAGAGGCAATGAAACGATAGTCCAGCTGCTGCTTGACAACCACGCCGACGTTAACGCCGAGGGTGGAAAGTACGGCAACGCGCTCCAGGCGGCTTCATCTGAAGGCAACGAAGCGATAGTCCAGCTGCTGCTTAACAACCACGCCGACGTCAACGCCGAGGGTGGAGAGTACGGCAACGCGCTCCAGGCGGCTTCATCTAAAGGCAATGAAGCGATAGTCCAGCTGCTGCT